TTTGTTTACTAAACACGACAAACAAATCGACCTAGAAAGACGTGATATACCGTATTAATTTGATAAGATGTGACATACCATTGACTTTACAAGATATGATGGACCACTCTAACTAAAAAGTACGTGATAGACCACAACGATTTACGAGGACGTGACATATCACATTTTTTACAAGACGTGACGGACCATTTTGATTTTGACTATGCATAGGAAGCTTTGTGAAAAACACAAGAACAGAGAGAAAATAGGTGTGTTGAGGTTTTTGGTGGTTGAGGTGTGGGTGATGAAGGGTAGTTAGGCGTGTGGAGGTGTTGTGGTGGTCGGCAAAGTTAAGTAAGAAGACTAATAGTGGTTTTAATGGGTGGTGGCAACTTGAATGATAGAAGAATGATAGCAGTGAGTGGTTTTAGATGATGAGGTAAGCTCAAAAATCCAGTTGAAGAGGGAAATGGTGGCTGAAAAATTTTAGGGGAGAAGATGGATAATTGGTGTGTAGAGAAAGATGGGTATTTATAGGTGAAAATTAGGATTTTTGGGTAAAAATCAATTTTGGTCCTCAATTCCTCCTAATTCACAAGATTAAATGTAATTTAGGTTGTTTGAACTTCAATGGCACACCAAATTACAATTGATCATAATATTTTCTTAAATTTCTTCCAATTGCATCCCTCTTCTTTTTCTTTTTTCTTTTTTTAATTTAAGGATTTTGGGTTTTTGGTTTTTTTAATTTTACCTTCAATTGGGTTTCTTTTGGTTTTCAAACTTCCAATTTCTTTTAATTAAACCTCCCAAAACTAATTTGAGTTGTTTATTTTAATTGAATTCTTTTTTATATATATTTGATATTTATTTTCTTTTATTTTTTTGTATTTATTATTATTATTATTTTAGAACAATAGAAGGAAAATTATGTGAGAGAAATTAATTGGATATCAACACTCCTTTTGTTAATTAATTTGTTTTTCATGAATTTCTACCTTTATTTCCTTTACTACTTATATTATTAATACTGTAATTATAAACCAATGAACTAGATAGGTTCAAATCCTAGTTCTGATTACTAATTTATTTGTTACTAGTAATTTGTTTTGATTCCTAATTATTGATCTCCAACGATCAGATGAAGCTTTAAGTTATGTATCCTAAAATTTTGAGTTTTTTTTAGTATGGCTCTGCTATATCTGTTGTACTTTATCTCAGTTTAATAGCAGAGGTAATTAGTTAATCTCTTTAGTTTTAAAATCCCAAAATTAAATTCCTGTGTTTTAATACAAACAAACATAACCTCACCGTTAAGTATCTAGTAATTTATTTTAGTGAAATAAGTTTGAATCATGATAATTTCAATTTATTTGTTTTTTAACGTAACAAGGGAGGACTACCTTTTTATTGTGTTGTCCAAAGTTCACGGGCCTTCAGATAAAAAAAAAAAAAAAAAAAATCTTACATTTTTAACTTACTCCTTCTATTTGTTTTACATCACATTTTGATAGTTTTTCTTAAAATGTCCATTTCTAAATAAAAATTTTCAATATCACATAGAAAAAGTAAAGTGAAAATTGCATTTCAAAAATGCAATTTAAATTTTTTTAAAAGACTCAATAATCAAATTTGATTAAGGGACTACTTATGAAAACCAAAAGGACAATAATACAAAATAATAAAACAAACAGGGATTAAGTTACCATTCACTGGAGTAGTAATTTTGCTCTCTTTTTTCCGGATTAATTTGTACTAATTAACCAACAAACTACAAATTAAATGTAAGATGATGGCAAAGTGCTAGTTTATGAATCTTAGCTTTATTTTGTTCATTTCTTCGATTATTTTTCTATAAATATATTTTAGTTTACTTATAATTTAATGATCGCAAAAGCTTGCCATCTATAATATTATTTCTCTTTTGTAGGTTCTTCGAAAAACATAACATCATTTTTCACCTATGTAACACTCTTTTTACCTGCGTGAATTTACTATTTGATTATTTTTGCAAATAATAACAACTATTAGTTTCCAATACTGATCATTTTACTCGTATCTAGTTTCATGTAACAGGTCCTGAAAATGGGCAGGATCGGAGGGAACAGAACTGCCACCTCCTCCATCAGTAATTCCTCCAAATGTTGTACCCTTTGCGAGCAAAATCAAGTGGCACTCGTCAACCTGCACCAAAGAGGACAGCAAGTGAAAGCCATACTCCCATGGACCTTCCTGGCATGGAGCTAAAGGGCATCTAACAAATCATTTTTTTTTAAAAAAAAAAAAATCATTTTAAAGTAGGACTGCCCAACTCAAACGATCCACTACTATCATTATATTGTGAGTTCCTTTGTGCCAACAGTATTAAGATTAGATTAAAAGCCAGCCCAAAAAAAAAAAAAAAAAGGCATAAAACATACAAATAAAATTACAAAAATTAGATTCTAGATAATGTCTGCTAATATTATTTTTAACTAGGTTATCAGTTTTTTTTTTTTTTTTTTTGAGAATGGATAAGATTAGATTAAATGTCATAAAAAAAATAGCAGAAAAGATAAAACAAACTTACAAAGATTAGAATCATGCAAGAAATTTCTTTTGTCGACTAATACTATTCTTACCTAGGCTATCATTAGTTACGACATTCTTTTCTTTATTCACTATGACAAAACAAACATATCTCAATATATTAATAGAAAAAATAATGTTATTGAGATCACAATATAACTTTCAAGACACGTAATATGAACTTTATGAATCCAACTAATAACATTTGAACAATCTAATTTAACAATCCAATAAACTTGTTGTGCTAAGAGATGAAAAACACTAAACTCTAGAATCCTTTAGATTGCAAGAACTTCTTCTTCATTGGAGTTTCTTACACCGTTGGTCCAATTGGAAAAATACATAAGAAATAATGCCCTTCATTATATCTAAGAACATCCCTAATATCTGAAGCACCCGATTTCCTCATTGACAAGTCATCTACGTTTCGTTTTATAAATCCAACACCTGGCTTAATCCATTTTTCAGTCACTTGGTTTTGAATTTTGTTAGACCAATTATGAATATCATCCGAACTACGAAATAGATTATTCTCCATAGTCTTTGTCTAATAAGAAATTCTGTGAAAGAGAAATGAGAACAAATACTTTCAATTTGGTTCACGTTGTTGATATGGTTCAAAACAAAGTGAATAAAACTAAATACCATATTTTCTTATGTAATTTTTCAGAAGAGAAGAAATCTTATTGTTGGAAAACATCATCTACATTGCTAGGTATTGCACATAAACACCCCCACCAGCACATAATTTTACTCTCTCTCTCTCTCCCCTTCAATTCCTCTATTATGAAGGAAGATGTTTTTTTTCTATATATATAGATCGAACGAGCTTGTAAAGTACACACTGTTGTGAAGGCATTGACTTGGAGGGTTAATTTTGCAGATAGAAGTATAGAACCGGATGGAATGAGAGCCCAAGTGAAACTGATAGGAAGAGAATGAAGCGGCCAAGCAAATCCAAAAATATTAAAGTAGATATGAGTTTTGCTTCTAAAGTTTAATTTCAAGCACATGTAAGTGCTCTATAAGGTCAAAAATCAGAGCATTTTCAAGCTGTGAGATTGCTTGACATTTCTCTCAGGCAAAATGCAGCAAGGCAGTGAGTACTAATCATTGTTTCTCTGCACCCTTCCGTAGCTTTTGTGTGTGTGTGTGTGTGTGTGTGTGTGTGTAGCTTGTTGTATATTGTATCTAATTACATATAGTAGGTAAGGATCCAGATAAAATGTTGCTTTGCAGGGAGGTAATCGGGACAAGCGTACGGGTAGCGACGACAGGAACGAAGGGTTCTGCAACAAATGGGTTTGCTGTATTGATGCTAACTGTTGGAACAAGTCCAACATCATCATGGTAATGATCTTGATCTTTTATAGTATCTTGACCTTGATCTTCTATAGTTTTGCAGTCGATTAGGACCAAGGTAGCCCCAGTGGAACTTGTTGGTTGCAATGGTCGGCCCAAATGAGCACGTTAAGAGAGCGGTGTGCTGATGATGACACAGATTTAAATTGCTTTGCGTTGCAGAGATCTGATACAGAATTTCTGAAGGCAGTTCATCGGAACTTTTTTTTGCAGGATCTGAGTACCGTGCAGGAAGAAGGTAGAGAATGTTTAAGGCCAGGGATGGTATCATCTCTCATTAATCAAAGGGTATTTAAGAAACCCGGCCAATTTCCGGGCTATGGTGCTCTTATCAGTACTTGAATGGCCTTTCATTGCTATGATCATCTGCTTCTGCATTTCATAATTTTTACTCCATTTCCTCCCTAGCTTGTCTCTCTTTTGCTCTCTAATGACTATCGGTACTCCTTCATAAACATCTCAGTCTCGTCTTTTTATCGTGTTGTCCCTTCGAACCTTTATTAAGTTTTCTTTCTTAGTTTTACCTTTGGTTGTTGGTAAAGAAGTTCATTGCATAACCAAACAAGTGAAGAATCTCACCTATTATTTCAAAAAGGTTCATTCCATTCAAGTTAGACAACCAAGGTACTAGGTATTTTGCATGCTATATCTACAAGCTAAATGGAATACTCTAATCATAAGGCACGAGGAAAAAGAGATATTAGATAAATGTAAACCATAGCCTATAGAACATTAATTCAATTTGTACGTACAATTACAAGACCCTCATGGAATGGCTATTATAATGAAACATCACTTTCCTTTGTTCTTTGAGAGTCGTCATTGTTATTATTTGTTGTAGGAAATTCTCATGAATCCATAGAGAAGCTGGTTGTAAACAGGAAAGATCTTTGACCAAAGCTCTGCTACGACACTACTGGCCAGCAAAGCTTATGATAGTGCCCAAAGGGAACAGCTCGTGAACCTATGCACAAGAAAATACAGAATCAAATTACATGACAATATGACATGGCTAACATGGGGGAAACAAATAACACTACAGGAAATTTTGCTTTACGAGAAAAGTGGACATGCTCGACCTTGATGCCTGTCTACCCAAAATTGATTCCTTGTGCCAGTGGTAACTCATTCCCATAATTGATTGTGCTGTCAAATAATTCATAAAAAATATCAGTAGCAGTTTAATTGGAAGTTTTATTATTTGCTTTTTTTTTTTTTTTTGCTGAGAAAGGAAAAGTTCAATCTAATTTCCCGGCGTGAAAAAGGCTAGAATTCAAGTCGAGCATCAGGCAGAGAAATCAAAGGACTGTTAATGATTCTTGGATTTACCAAGTTGCGCGCCGCATATATTGCTTCCAAGAATCACTTCCTGCTTCACGCCCACCCCCTGTAGCCTTTTCGCCGCCAAAAGCACCGCCAATTTCAGCACCGTTTGTTGGTATATTTACGTTCACAATGCCACAATCACTTCCTTGTGGCCTGCATTAGGGAACCAAGTGAGGAATTTCTTTAAATAAGCGACAAAAGAGGAATACTTATAAAACACAATCATTTCAAAGAACTCACTTTAGTAGATATTAAAGATGAAAATGGCATTTCTTGTAAAGATTTTCATGGAGATCACTAGGATGAGTGAGAATAAAGAACCTTCAGAAATTGCATAGGTGTGAAAAACTCCAAATTCCAGAGCAAAATAATTTTACTTAGATCCAAAACATGATGCAAGAAAACTTACAATCACATAATACACATCCAAGGATTTTAGAGTATAAAAGAACTCACCCAATCCACTTGAAGATAATTTCAGGTTTGCGGGTGAAGATAGAACTACTTAATCCTTGAGGGACTGAATTGTTTATTTCAATTGCTTCTTGTAAAGTCTGCAGAAAAGGTTCAGCTTTCAGAAATTAGATTGAGTGCAAAAGCAGCAAATGAAGCACCTAAAGCAAATTAATTATTTAGCAACACCTCCACATGTATAAATAACTGTACGAATAATAGTAGTGATTAGTTATCAAAAGGTTTAACAAAAGAAACTTTAGTCTTATGTACTTCATTCATAACTCACAAAAGAAAGAAAATTGGTTGAAAAAAGGAACAAAAACTCGCCAAAGGAAAGAGCCGGATGAAGAAGGTACCTGGAATTTCATAACATAAAGAACAGGAGCAAATAACTCTTCTTTAACAATGTCTGTGTCTGGAGAAATCTCAACTATCGTGGGCTGCACAAAATTCCCCTCAGATTCTATCACTGACCCACCTGTTAAGATCTTACCTCCCTGCAAAATGACAGCGAGCATGTTTAAGGGTTTTTTTTTTTCCTTTTTTAATTCTTTGTTGTATATTTCCAGTTTTTTTGACCTAAAGAACTAGGAACATAAAGGACAAACGAATACCAAAGAGCTTGTAGCCCAATGGTTGTGGTCTCTTGCAACAAGAGGTCACAGGTTCAAATCCTAACAGAGTAATTCTACTAGGAGCCTTGGGTATGTGAGTTTTTTTTAAAAAAAAAAAAAAAGACAAACAAATGCTTATGTTTGAAATATTGGAACAGCTGGATAACCACAGTAGATAAGTGAAAAACAGAACATGCCTGGGACTTAATTATCTCTATTCCCTTTTCAAAGCGCTTCCTTGATTCAGAAGTGTGCAATGGCCCAAGCAAGGTGCCCTTTTCCATTGGATCCCCAATTTTAACTTGCTTGTATGCATCAAGCAGTTGGTCAAGTACTCTCTGATATATGCTCTCATGTAGAAGCTTAAGACACAAGCAAGAAAAGTGTTCAGTATGATTGATTTTGGGTGCCATTGTCATGCATGATTTTCAAAAAAAAGTCAGATTTTAGAATACCAGCCTGCGGCATGTTGTGCAGCGCTGACCAGCTGTCCCAACAGCAGCAAACAGAACAGAACGAACAGCTAGTGGGATGTCAGCATCATCCATGACTATTATAGCATTATTTCCACTTAACTCAAGCAAGCATTTACCAAATCTCTGATTAACTATCCGTTGCACCATTAGGCCCACCTGTAGAAGATGCAGTGTTTGTGAGTTAGAAATATGTACCATTGATAATTATCAAAATTTCCCCTTCTATAAGGGTGAATATGTACATGTTCTTGAAAAAAAAATTAACCAAGAAAAAGTTCAAACCGCTGGGTAAAAATTAGAGAGAATTATCCTGGAAACATAATATTCATTGATTATATTGCAATAAGCCAAATTCACATTTAAAAACCACAAATTCAGTAATTTATTCAGCATGGCCAGAAAGAATATGACAATATTGAATGCATGCAGTGGATGATTATAGTAAGAATAATGGAATAAGACTAATATATTAAGCAACCTTAGAATATAATAAATGAGGAGAGTAGCCTCTAGTCAAACAGAGCAAATAATTTGACCAACAAAAGAAGAGTTTCTCTTGTAGTAAAGATGATGAACAATAAACATTTTCTAAGGAGACACAATTTAAACACCTTTACACTGCCAGTGAAAGAAACCAGAGAAATGCGTGTATCTTTTGCTATTGCTTGACCAATATCAGCACCACCACAAAAGGATGTAAAAATTGCAGGAGGTAAGTTATTCTTCTCTAACACCCCGGCTATCAGCTTTGTCATTGCAATGGTGATCAAAGGAGTTGTCGGTGCACCTTTCCTATAATTAAGGATGAAAAGTTTAATCCAAAGTCAGCCACAAACAAATTTTTGTAAGCTGTATTTGCAACAAAGGAATGTAGAGTGGATGGAAGCATTTTTTTCATATAACTGTAAGCTGATAATCACAATAAGCAGTTACGAATGAGGTCGAAGTGGGAACTGATATGCCAAAAAGGGATGCAGAAAAAGCTTAGCGGTCTAATATCTCTTCTAAGAGAAAAGATGCATATCAGAATTGAACCCACATAATCTATTTGAGTATGGAGCAAAAGTGGATTGTCAAACTTTACTTCCAAATTTCAATTATTAGTTAATCTGAAAGGATAGGCCTGTTAAATATGACATATCCAGAAACCACACAAAAGCATAGGTTCAGTGCTGCCTATTTTTAATTGTTTGCAAGCAACATAAATTATCCCAAAACAGTTCATAGATCTTTCCAGAATACAGCTCAATGAAGGCAATCAAAAATGGGCTGGAGTTCCACCAATAAGATACTGAAATCTGAAAATTGTAGGATGACATAACAATCTCATAATGGAAAAAAAGGATAAGAAAGCGCCCTTAAGTATTTGATTGAATAACGAAAATTTGACATAATAGGAGCTTAGAAAGCTGGAATTACATATTTAATGAAAAGAAACAAGACTGCAATGCATACATTACATCAGTAATGAAATGTTCATCTTGTCTATCTAAGAATGTCATAGAGCATGGTGTCCCAGCCAAGATTGGTATCATGACTTACCAGACAACACAATTGCCACAAACTAGTGCAATGCAAGCATTCCATCCTGCAGAACAGCAGTATACATAAATTCATGTCATAACAAGAAGAAAGCCATCTGATGGCTTCAGTAAAACATACTTAGTGAAAATTTTTTGATATTAGAGAGGTACAATACCAGCAATGAGTTTGAATAACATTCAAGTTGCACTACTTAATCAGTCAGGATTGAAAGAAAAGCATCCAAAAGAATGCTCCTAACCACTAAGGAAAGTACTACTGGCAGGAAAAATAACTAAAATTGTGAAGATAAACAGAGTCTTGGATAAAGCAACCTCCCATATTAAAGACATCGGATATATCTTCATATACTTGTTTATTGCAAAATGTAAATGTGTGTTTATCTAGATTATTTTTAGTGCTTATATTTATAAAACAGGATATAGCACTCACCAAGAACAGCGCATGGGAAGTTGAAAGCTGTAATCACACCCACAATTCCAAGAGGATTCCACATCTATGCACATAACATATGTTGAAAATGTCAACAATATTATAAGAACTAAAGTACTGATTTGAATTCAAAAGCAAAGGCGATCAACATACCTCCAACATTGCATGATTTGGACCTGTTAACAGATCAAAATGAATTATTCCTGGACTAACATTTGAAAACTGGGGCAAATATCCAATTTCAAGAGTTGATTTTTTAAAACAAAATGACAGCTGCAGATAAATGCCTAAACTCCAGCATTATCCACAACATTCTGCACCCAGTTGTGCTGCAGCACTTAAACATAGACTTGAAATTATTTTGAAAAGGCAACTGAAAGAAAAATAAAACTACTACAAATTATACATAAATGGTGAGAACTGATCATTGAGCTTACGTTCCGAAGGTATTACTGATCCATTCAGTTGTCGACTTAAGCCCACAGAAAAATCACACATATCAATGATTTCCTGCAAATATCAGTGCTTATGAAGTTAAAGGAGCCCAAAGAAGAACAATAAATCACAACAGCTGGTTTTACAACATGTGGAATGAACATCCTATACAAGATCACTAAAGAATTAGCAAATTAAAGCAAGGTAACATACTTGAACTTCCCCTATTCCTTCAGGAAGTATTTTTCCCATCTCAAGTGAGACAAGGCGACCAAGCTGCTGAAGTTTAGTTCTCAATGCATCCCCAATCTGTCTGACAATCTCACCTCTCTTCGGAGCAGGAACCTGCAAAATACGATACAAGGCAATTAGGAGGTCTCAGCAGTCAATCACGAACAGAATATATGCATCAGATAGAATAGTGCCAAGTAGGCATATTCTCAGAAGTTCACATGCTTGTGAATTCTACAATGTATCGAACTCATGAATTTTGTCCCCAAAAAATTTTAATAGGTTCTATAACAAGGAAAAAAACTCACCTGCATCCATATCTTAGCAGCTTCACTGCAAGCTCGCATGCCTTCCTCATAATCTTCAGCAGAACCCTCCACGACTTCAGCTACAGCCTAAATCAATACAAAAATAAAAATGAAAAATTGATTAAACATAAAGTGGACGGATATTGTTAGGCGAGGAGTTAGTAACTTCCATGGAGTGGTACCCCTCAAATGGCCTTCATTTTTTGTTCATAGCAACTTAGCACTAGAGTATAAAAGCAACTTATAAATGCAAATACACAGAGGAGTAAAAGAATCAGCACCAATAGATACACACACAGATACATATATGTTATACATACGTAAAAGAATCAGGAACAACCTGGTTGTTTGCAGGGTTCACACTGGTGACCACAGGGCCATTTGCTTTCCACGTGCCACCTACATAACACCCCAAATTGCGAGAGCTCAGCCCGATTTCACTCAAAAACTCGTACTCTTTTCTTGCAAAACCCATCTCTGCACAAACAAATAAAAAAATATACATGAAATAGTTTATTATTTCACACACTAAAACTTAAACTCAAAATTATAACATCTCATGTTTTTAGATCGAAACATATCATTGCTAACAATTCTTTTTCTTCTTTAGAATGGAAAAGTTTTTAGGCTCTCCATAAACTATTAAGGTTCAGAACTTGGATTTAAAATTTCATGCATTCAGATTTCTAGACTTTCTCAGTAACCAAACACCGAAGTGGAAAAAAATCACGGTAACAAAAAAGAGAAAATCATAAGCTTCAAAATCCAAGCTTTTAGCAAATAAATTCTTAGAAATCAAACACATGATGAGAAAATAAGAGCACATATAGCCATAAACACAACCAGTCACAACCCATTCACTCTGAAATTAGAGTTTCTAAGAAGAACATACCATACCTAAAACACAAAAAAGAGAAACAAAAATTATTAGTGATACAACTCAAAGAGATCCCAGTTTTTATTTTCATTCAATCTTCACTTGCGATCGTTGCTTCCAAACCAGAAAACAGAAAAATGTAATAAAAAAAAAAAAAACAGCGGGGGTTATGCATGTGTGTAAGATGAAAGATTAAAAGTTGAAAAAAAAAATACCAACTTTGATTTGTTGTTGTTGTTGTTGTTGTCTGGAATGGGAAGAAAAACTGGCGTGTTCTGCTAATGGAGCATGAAATGAAGTGAGTAAATAATTTTGATTGATTGGGTATGGAGACAGAAAGAAGAGGAGTGAAGATCAGAGCGTGATCGTGCCCATAACCATATCGCTTTGAATATATATAGATAGACTGCTTCCTCTTCTGTACTAAATTATTGTTATCTTTTATTTTTTGTACAGTTTAAAAATATTATTAATATTACGTCAGTAGTTTTAAAAAATATTTTTATTTTTAAAATTATATTTAAACAATTTTTTCAATAAGCTTTTAAAAATTTTAACCAAATAAATATTATAAAATATATAAAAAAAGATTAAAAAAATTGATCAAGAAAGAATAAGGGAGACGTAAAGGGCAGTGTGTTTGGATTAGGTTGATGATTTGTCCATTTGTGATTATAAAAGGAGACAAAACGATCATCGCATCCACGTCCGCTCATATGATGTGCCTGCTCTCCCATCCAATATGCTATAATTTAATAATAATAATAATCTTTTTAATTAAGGTTAGAGTTTTGGTATAATTTTTTTTTATTTTCATGATATTATGTTTAAAAATTCAAACTAATTTTTCATTTAAATGCATAAAATAAACATACCTACTTAATAGATTGTTTAATTTATATAGAATCTGAGATTATTTATTTAAGTAATTTCAGTGTTCTTGCTTCCAATCAACTCTCTAGATTAATATTAGTGTAGTGTGATTTTGAACAAGGAAAATGGGGGACCATCATGGTGTTGTCGTGGGGGGTGATTTTCTATAGTGTTTTCTGATCAATCTCCAAAAATTTATGCTTAGATTTGTCTCTTTGTATGCGTTGCAACATTATGATGGATAAATGGGGCGGCTTCTTCCAACATATATTGCCTTTCCTTACCAAGGACATGCTAACTTCACATGGGCGTCATGGAGACCGGAGCCCCATTTTATGCAAAATTAGCAAATATGGAATTGAAGGAAATTTTTTTAGAGAAGTGGTGACCGGTAAGAAAGCTGCTCGTATTTTAGCTACCTATCACGGAAGACGATATATGGCTTGAAGAGCCTCCTACTGTCTCTTTCTGATTTGTCTTAATAAAAAACGAACCTTTCCAAGTTTTAAGAAAAGAAAAAAAAGTTTCAACTGGCTATTACATCTCCTTTAAAAAAAAAATATCATCTTAATATTTACAAAAACATCTTATTGAACTTTCAATGCGTTTGGTTTTTATAATGTTTTTCAACCGTTTTATAGTGACTTGAATGATATTAGAGGTTTTTTTTTTTAATAACAAATATAAATATGCTATTCCAAAAATCTTTGACATTTTAATTTCGTGATCGTTAAATTAATGTGCGATGATTTTCTCTTAAGAATGAATTTTAAAAACCTCAAATGTCCTTTAAGTTTGAATTTAATGACAATAGGAGATTTTCGACGAAAAGATTAACGTTGTTACAAAAAAGAAATGCAAAGAACTCAATTACTCATTTTGGAACCACATGGTCCTTATAGTTTGATTTTGGCTGGTTTAGGACACATCTTATCCATGGTTGATCTAGGACATAAATGGACACGTACAAAATTTAATTTGTTTGTATTGTTAGTTGGCGGTGGGTATGACCGTGTCTTTTCCCGGATCAAAATTGTTGGAGTTACGCGTACACGTATGACTAGTAGGCTATTATCCAGCATATTGGGCCAGACTTTAATTTGTTTGGTGATTAGGCTTGGCCCATTGACATCAATGAAAGTCCAAATTATTGTTGGCAGAAAATCAAAAAACAAACGTAAAACTAAAACGTGCCTCCAATATTGCACGTGCGTGTGGAATTTCCTCGTCCCGACGCTCATTCAACAGACGAAAGACCAACCAAAAACGACAATTCAAAAAACCAAACCAAACCAAACCCAAAAGTTCTTACTTCTTACCACATTTCTCTCTGCTTCCTTCAGCTGAGCTACCGTGCTTTAATCCTGTCTCTTTTTTTTCACACTTTATCTAATTCATCGGTAAGTCCTCAAAATTTCCCTTCAACTTCATCGTCTGGCTCTCTTTCTAGGCAAAGTTCTTAACTTTGCTTCAGAACTAGGGTTTTCAGTTCCCAAAACATGACAATGAAACCCTAGGTCTTAATTTCCCATCTGATTTTTATTCGTTTGTTTATTTTATTGATTTTATGTTAAGATGAAAGTCTTTAATAGCTTGTATAGTTCAAACAACCCCAAATTGAAAGGGGTTTTCAATGGATTCTGTACTGTGATCCTATTCTTTTTGTTTTACAACCGGGTATATATACTTAGAGATCCTTATATTGGTCAAAATTCAATTCAAAGAGGTGTTTTTGGTGATGGGTCGAGGGGTGATTTGGTCCATCCGAGGCAAATGATTGAAATTAATGCTAATTCATCGAGTTTGGTTAATGTGACTGGTGATCAAATTGATTTGAGCTTAAAGAATCCGGGTTTGTGTAGTGGCTTGATTGATCATGATGGTTATGCAAATGAATGTGAATTCTTGAAAGCTAACCCGGATTGTTCATCGGGTGGATTCTTTGATTATATCAAGTTTTTGTATTGTGATTGTGGTGATTTTAGAGCGTTAGGTTATGTGGTGTTGGGTATTTGGCTTGCTGCTTTGTTTTATTTGTTGGGGAATACTGCTGCTGATTACTTCTGTTGTTCACTGGAAAAGTTATCGAATCTTTTGAAGTTGCCTCCAACAGTTGCTGGTGTTACGCTCCTTCCACTTGGGAATGGAGCACCAGATGTGTTTGCAAGTATTGCTGCCTTTGTTGGAAAGAATTCAGGTGATGTCGGTCTTAATAGTGTGTTGGGTGGTGCTGTGTTTGTTGCTTGCATTGTTGTTGGGGCTGTATCATTATGTGTTGCAGATAAGGAAGTTCAGATTGACAGGAAATGCTTCATTAGAGATATCTGTTTCTTCCTTTTTACACTCATGGTGTTGTTGATATTTTTGATGGTTGGTAAGGTGAGTGTTGGAGCAGCAATTGCTTTTGTCTTGATTTATGTGGTTTATGCATTCTCTGTGGCTGCCAATGAGATATTGAGGAAACATGCACAGAGATTGAAATTGGATGCTGTTACACCGTTGATTCCTGTGCGAGGAAGCATATTTTCTCAAACAAACAGTGAAGACGATGCAAACATTTATAGTTCTCTGCTTGACCTTGAGACTGATAGTGATGTGCCCCATCTACCTCCATCCCTGCCATCATGGATGTGGGCTTCAAATGTGGCTATATATTCCAATCACTTATCAAAAACCAATTTGCCGGATGAAGAAAGGCCTCCATGGGGATGGACTGATGAGGGCATGGAAATCAGTAGTTCTTCATTCTCTTGTTCCAGGTTGTTGTCACTGATGGAGTTGCCCTTGACAGTGCCCAGACGGTTAACAATCCCATTAGTTGACGAGGAAACATGGTCAAAGCCATATGCTGTAGCCAGTGCTGCCTTGGCTCCTCTTTTACTGGTATTTCTGTGGAATAGCCAAGATGATGTGGGTTCTCGAAGCAGAATTCTAGTGTATTTTATAGGCACTGCAGTTGGTTGTGTGCTTGGTGTTCTTGCATATCAGCATTCAAACTCCGATCATCCACCTCAGAAGTTCTTGCTTGCTTGGGTTTTAGGGGGATTTTTTATGAGTATCGTGTGGTTTTACATGATAGCAAATGAGCTTGTTGCTCTTTTAGTTGCATTTGGCACAGTCCTAGGAATTAATCCATCAATCCTTGGATTAACTGTACTAGCATGGGGCAACTCGATGGGGGATTTAGTGTCAAATGTTGCGTTGGCAATGAATGGCGGTGACAGTGCACAGATTGCAATGTCCGGATGCTATGCAGGTCCCATGTTCAATACTCTTATTGGCTTAGGTATCTCAATGCTGCTAGGAGCCTGGTCACAGAGCACTGGTATATACATTGTTCCTCAAGACAGTAGCTTGTTTTACACAATAGGATTTCTCATTTCAGGATTAATCTGGGCGCTTGTAGTTTTACCTAGGAATGACATGCGTCCTAGCAAGATGTTAGGAGCGGGCCTTATAACCCTCTATGTGATTTTTCTTTCAGCAAGGGTGATTACTGCCATGGGATATGTGGTTAGTTGACCAGCTGCAATCTTTCAGGAAGGCTAGAGTCCTCAAACTATTATTGTCTGACATTCCGCTTGTAAAATGGCAATTTGACAACTCAATATCATAGCTCTAGTTTATTCTTGTTAACACTTGCTGTCAAATTTTGAATGACCTCCCTTTCAGGGGGCTTACGCTTCGCATGGTAAAAGCACTATTATAATGCAAAATTTTACTTTCATGAGGTGTTTATGGCTTTATGCTCTAGTGCTTTCATTGCTGTATTTGATCATTAACAGGAAGCATATGAAGATCAACCAATGTTAGAGGAATGTCTACTTTCTAGGTTTTGTTTCCTATTCTAGGCTTCTGGGCGAGAATGAGCAAATATAGAGAAGTGAATCACAATGCCAGGATTGATATATGATACAAGTCACAGGACTATTACAGTAGATCCTTCATGGATGCCTTCTCTCGTGTAGAGTTCCGAGAGTAACTTGGTTTGAATTGCGTCTGATGCTTAGCATGTTTTTAGCCCTATTCAGTACATCCTGCATTTAATGTTCTTCTTTTCAACATCCAGTGGCGGCTTTCACGAGAGAAGTTTTGGCGAGGTGTGAGAGGAGTAATATCAACCAGATTTTTTAAGATGCGTGACAGGAGTAACTTCAACCAGATCACTTTAAAAATTTTCCGTATTTGATTTAAAAAATTGCGTTCAAATTTTGTCTGCGTTCTCTACAATTGACGTAGGATTGAACCCATTAATTCAAGCTGTTTCGCTGTAAAACTTAACCAAGATAAGGAAAAAACATCTATGGCGGATCAGTTTGCTTAACAACAGCTCCTGGGATGAAATGATTTCATTGAACATGGTCTTTGATTGTTGAATGTGTGATGGTCTTGGATGAGACAGAAGATATGGGATTGGTTGGGGCTGCATGGGCAAAGATTCTGCCTAGTTGTGAGTTTTTGGATAAGCTTAGGGCAGGTTGATTGGGATTATTACAGAAACCTTCTGAAGGATAACACGTTATATGGGAAGGTTCCTCCTCTTTTGTCCCCTTGATGGCTTCCACAAATTCATCAGGTCTTTGTCTTAAGGTGTTTATTTAATTAGTACATATATTTGATATTTCCATTCGCTTCTTTTCATTTTGATTCAACTGATTGCGATCCGACTCTTGGGATCCAAACGGAACCTAAACTTGTTAAAAAGGCTGATTAAAAGAAAAGCCTTAGTGAAGTTCACTTGTTTCTTGGGTTAACAATCCGTACAGTACTTGTACTACAACCAATTGATTGATAGCATTTTTTTTATCAATTTAAATGTTAATTAAATCCATATAGTCAATTAATTTATTTAATATGAGTCTCTTTTAATGACGTTAAGTAAACTATATAATTAAGAAATGCATATTATTTGATCTCATTGACTTCATTAATTATTTTTTCTTTCTATTTTTTACTATAGAAAACATTTATTTAAATTATAATTATTAAACCCAAAAATTTAAGTTTATAGGTAAGGTCCCAAAATATAATTTATATTAGTCTCTAACACACCCTTTCAAGTGAAAGCCCCAATATTTGAGCTTGAAACTTGCACAAGTTCACATTACCTTGTATTTAATACTTGAGAAATTAGGGATGATGAGACTTGAACTCGGAACCATATGGTCAATCAAGTTAGTCAATCAAACTCTCATACCATATTAAAGGACAATCTCACCCAAAAGCTTAAGTCGATAGGTGAGGTTTCAGAATATAATTTATATTAGTCTCTAACAATAAAAAAAAAAAAAAAAATCTAGTTTCAATAAATGGTGATGAATCTCTTTTCTTCTTTTTTTTTTCTAATTTCAATAAATGCTTTTTATAATAAAAAAATCTAATTTCAATAAATATTTTCAGTAATTTGTTTAATTACAATAAATGCTTTATGTAATAAAAAATTAAAAAAAGTATTTTCAAAAAATATTTTCTATAATAAAAAATAATGATGGATCTTAAAAAATATATTTTTTTTTTCAAATTTCAATAAACTTTTTGTAATTAAAAATAAAAAGAAAAAATAAGTAATGAGATCAATAAAATCAAATGACAAATATCGTTTGATTATGTAATTTATTTAACGTCGTCAGCAATGTTACTAATGCAGAATTCACATTAAACAAATTGATTCAGTATAGAAACTCAATTAACACTTAAGTTAGTTAAAAAAAAAAAATTGATAAATCAATTAATTGTAATACAGGAACGTATGGACCATTAACTCCTTATATCTTTGAGTTGGTTCAATGCTTATTTCAACAAATATACTTATTTCCACTTAATCATTAGATTCAAATTTATTTATTTATTTATTATTTATATTATGATAAATATACTAATATGTTCTTATATAATACTCAAAATCTCTTATATATATTTAGATTTTTAATTACATTTCATCTATCTTTGAAAAATTTTAAAATCTTCAATTTGTTTTTCCAATCAAATTTTCCGACTATAGAATTTTTTTTTAATTGAAATGTTCTTTGTCGAAATGCAAAAAGAATAATAAAAAATAAAAATACTTAAAGTCACATGACTTAAATGTTTTATTTTTGAAATCGTTTTTTTAATTATGTTTTAATTAGGGGTATTTTGGTTAAAAAAATTATTTGACTAGAAAATTAATTGGAATGACATATTGAACATTTCAAATATTTTAAGGGACAAATGAAATGCAATTAGAACTCTAAAGACATACGAGAGATTTTATGTATTATATAAAAATGTAAATAAATAAATACCTATTCCAAGAACGGGTCTTAAAACAAGAGAAAAATAGGCTTTTCCATGTATATATATATAAACCTTTATCCTATAAGATGATGGACAAGTCGCGGCAAGTTTTATCATCTTGAATCTGTATTTGTCTCGTCACTCGATGTATTCTTAATCAGATCAATTAAATAATATTATTTGATGATACGTTGTTATAATCATACTAGTAAACTATTATATTCAAATATATTATAATGTTACATATAAAAAAAAAAAAAAAACGAGGCCCAGTATCCTCAACTATATTAAACAATACTCAATTTGAATTACATGCGATTCAAAAGCTAGTATAGTGGATGAATAAAAATAAAAATGATATACAAGCAAATTTTTCATAGTAAATTTACATAAAAAAAATAATGAAATGTGTATCATATAAATTTTAAATGATTAACCTTAAAAAAATCACCTATAGAAACGGCCCAGATGGTGGTTTTGTATTTCCAACATATTTCCCGATGCTGCTAAGAACAGTCAACAAGACGCTTTGAGTGAACGATATATATATATGTATAATCCCACAGTACATATTAGGTGTTAGTAAGTTAATAATAAACGGAACACAGGAGGGGGTGTTGGGCGTCAGGAAGTTAATAATCAACGGGTCAACAAAGCTAAATAAATGACGCAAAAGAGGACTTTGAACATTTTGTTGATAGTTTTTATGTAGCAAGTCTTTATGACAAGTAGTGGGGTCTGATTAAACCCATTATACTTTCATCACGTGTTATGTTCCCTTAAAATAAAGACAGACAATGCGATGATTTCATGGCCCTGGCGAAGAGAAAAATAAGGGTTTAATAACGAAAATTGCCTCCATTTTATTATAATTTAATAATTTTAAGTTTTATTATTAATTTATGTAATTTAAATTTCAAAATATCAATTTTTGAATAAATTTGATCCAAATTCTTTAATGATTGACCATTAATTTTTTTTGCTATTTTTTTTTAAATATTAACAAATGTTAACAATGTTTTTTTCTCTATTTTTCAAGAGAGATTCTTTCTATTTAAAATTTTTACATATTAATTCTTTTGATTTTTCATAATTAATCAAATTATTATTTGTATATATATTTTTTTAGTTTTAAAATATAACTTTTATATAGCATCATTATTCATTAAAATAATCAACTTCTATAATAAATAAAATACAAATATCTATTGGTTGAATATAATCAATTGAAATTTTCAAATAATGAATTTTAACTGAAACTTTTCTTTTATTGTGTCAATAAATTTATTCTTGCCATTGTCAAGCATTAAATTTTAAATATAACTGTATTTATTTAATATTTTTTTATCTTCACAAGTTTTGTATGAATTTTTTTTTGTCACAATTGATTTAAATGTATAATTTATGTTTAAAATTGTTAAAGTTAAAAAATCATTTTTTTCAACTTTTTTATTTTTTATTTTTTAAAGATAGGTTCAAAAAGTGAAAACTTTTTTTCAAGGAGAGCCAAATAAAAAATAGTGATAAATTTAATGAAATTTTTTTATTTATAAGTAAACGAGATGGAAAAAAAAATCTCTCTTGAAAAAAAAAAGAAGAAGCATTTCTAACATTTTTTTTAAATTAATAGCAAAAAAAAAATAACGATCAACTGAATTGACCGTTATAGTTAACGAATTTGAATAAGATTTATCCAAAATCCAATAGTTTAAAATTCAAATTATATAAATTGATAATAAAAATTAAAAATTGTGAAATTACAATATAACAAGGCAATTTTTGCTATAAAACTGAAAAATAAAGAACATAATTTTTGTCTTATAAACCAAGTGGATCCCACATATTAATTCTTGTCAATCACATGATGTGGATTAACCAAATGATTATGAGTTTGATTCACCTAATAAAATCTTCTAATTTAACATTTGCAGTCCAAAACTTATAACTTATCAAGACATAAAAAAGTAATTAGAAAATTTAACATTTGCAATCCGAATATATTTTTTAAATCCTTTTAAAAAAAGATTAGACTCGATTCATATATAAATTCTCAAAAATATTTTTATCGTTAAAAAGAAAAATCCTTACCAAAACACTAGTTAATTGATGTTTATTTGGATCATAATTTGGTGTAAGCGCATAATTATATGCAAATTACTAGACGATATATTTTTATAAAAGTACGAGATATAAAATCTGGTCATAATCTGAATAGTGGCGCAAATAAAATCTAGTTGAATCCCATCAAGAAGCTGTGCAGTTTCACCAGACTAGTTTTTAAATACTCGTTTGGTATGGTTTATGAAACGATTTTATATCCGTTCTAGTTTTACAACTGTACACATAAAAATAAAGTGTAATTGTTAAATTATAAAACTCACCTATTGAATGGAGACATTTAAGTAAAAAAATAAAAAAAAATCTATATATCAACGAGGTGGTTACAGACCAATAAATCTATGATCTAGTGATCAATAATATTGAGTTATTTGCATTTTCAAAAACTAATTAATTAGCTCCTAGATTAGTGTTGACTATATTTAGTTGAATATTAATTTATTTTTAAAAATATTTTATTTTTATAATCAATTTTCTATAATATTTATTTATTTATTTCCTAAAAAAATTGAAAAATGACATGAAATGGACAAAATAGACTAATTAATTAGTTTTTAAAACTAGAAAGACTATTCAATTCATTCTTCCAAACTAAGGGGACTAATTTATAATTTACTCCTGAATAAACAGTGCATTAGCACATGGTGAGGTTAGCCCAAGTAGAGTGCAGAAGTATCCATACATATTAAATTCGAAAAACCTTGCTGTCATTTTGTTAATAAAATCCCTTTAAAAAGACATATACCATTACGCCCTTCTCTCGTGGGCAGAGCGTGGAAGCCTTCCAGACCAAAGAAATAGTAATAAAGTAGCTAGAAAGAAAAAGGCAAAGATGACCGTATCGGGAGTTGGGGACCCATCCCATCAATACATCCAAAGAATCCCAAATATCTTCTTCTTCTTTTTTTCATAAAAAAATAAAAAAACATCACAAGTAAACCTTGAAAAAGAAATTAAACCTTACATTTTATGGTCATCATCATTATAAAGAAAACTAAAATAATTTGGATGTTTACCACATAAACTATCCTTTCCCCTAAATGGCTAAATTGTATTTAAATTTTGAACCTTCCCTCATAAGCAATCCTCATTCACAATCACTGAAAGCATTTCCATAATAAAATATCAATCAAAGTTTGCATTATGACCAAAACTTAAAATGTCCTATGGTCTGGGTGGACGCATATGGTCCTAAAAGTGCCAACTCCCTTCGGCTTCTCTTTTCTATCCCAATAAACACATCCTTATTTCCCACCCATTCCTCCTCCAATTTCCCAGGAATCAAACACACACCCAAAACCTCATGGTCATGGCCATTTCCCACCTCTCCTTCCTTCACTTTCTCCTCTTCTTCCTCGTAACCCTCTCAGTCCAATCATCATCATCGTCAGACCATCCACAAACCTTCATCATCCACGTGTCAAAGTCCCAGAAGCCCTCCCTTTTTTCTTCTCACCATGATTGGTACGCCTCCATCATTAAGACCCTCCCTCCTTCACCTCACCCTGCCAAGCTCCTCTACAACTACAACCATGCCATCCACGGTTTCTCAGCCCATCTCACAACCACTCAAGTGGCAAAGCTCCGCCGTGTTCCGGGCATTCTTTCGGTCATTCCTGATCAAATTCGCCAGCTTCACACCACTCACACCCCCACTTTCTTAGGCTTATCAGAAAGTTCTGGTCTTTGGAAAAATTCTGTTCATGGTGATGGTGTGATCATTGGAATTCTTGACACTGGAATATGGCCGGGACACGGGAGTTTATCGGATTCCGGTCTGTCTGATGTTCCTGCCAGCTGGAAAGGGATCTGTGAGACAGGACCTGACTTTCCAGCCTCTTCTTGCAACAAGAAACTTATTGGCGCTAGAGCTTTTCATAGAGGCTATATAACTCATAAAGGGAGACTTTTTGATGAATCAAAAGAATCTGCATCTCCAAAGGATACCGAAGGTCATGGCACACACACAGCAACAACTGCAGCTGGATCTTTAGTCCGTAACGCGAGCCTTTTCCAGTATGCGAGAGGAGAAGCACGTGGTATGGCCTCAAAAGCAAGAATTGCTGCTTACAAGATTTGTTGGAGTTCAGGTTGTTATGACTCTGACATTCTTGCTGCAATGGATCAGGCTATCTATGATGGAGTCGATGTGATTTCTTTATCTGTTGGTGCTACTGGTCATGCTCCTCAATATGACCATGATTCGATTGCGATTGGGGCATTTAGTGCATCACAGCATGGAATTGTCGTGTCTTGCTCTGCTGGGAATGCAGGGCCAGATGCCTATACTGCTGTTAATATTGCTCCATGGATTCTTACAGTTGGTGCTTCGACAATTGATAGAGAGTTTCCGGCCGATGTAGTCCTGGGCAATGGTAGGGTTTTCAATGGGGTTTCTCTGTACTCTGGTGACCCACTTGTTGATTACAAGCTTCCTTTGGTTTATGCTGGTGATGTGGGGAATAGGTATTGCTATATGGGGAGATTAAGTCCTTCAAAAGTTCAAGGAAAGATTGTGGTATGCGATCGCGGATGGAATGCAAGAGTGGAGAAAGGAGCTGCAGTGAAGCTTGCTGGTGGGCTTGGAATGATCTTGGCAAACACAGCAGATAGTGGTGAGGAGCTGATTGCTGACTCTCATCTTCTGCCGGCTACTGAGGTTGGTGAAATTGCTGCCAATAAGATTAGAGAATATATCAGATTGGGTCAGTATCCTACTGCAACAATTTTGTTCCGTGGAACAATAATTGGGACTTCACCTGCAGCTCCTAAGGTTGCAGCCTTTTCGAGTCGTGGTCCGAATTATTTGACACCGGAGATTCTGAAGCCAGATGTTATTGCTCCTGGTGTTAACATCTTGGCTGGTTGGACTGGTTTAGTTGGACCAACAGATTTGGAACTTGATCCTAGAAGGGTCGAGTTCAACATAATATCAGGTACCTCAATGTCTTGTCCTCATGTTAGTGGAATTGTTGCTTTGCTTCGAAAAGCATTCCCAGATTGGTCCCCAGCTGCTATAAAATCTGCTTTAGTAACCACTGCTTATACTTTAGACAATTCTGGCAAGAATTTTGAGGATCTTGCTACTGGTGAAGAATCAACACCCTTCATTCATGGAGCTGGTCATGTTGATCCTAATAGTGCTCTTAATCCTGGACTGGTGTATGATATGGACACAAGTGACTATATTGCCTTCCTTTGTGCAATTGGGTATGATTCTAAGCGAATTGCAGTTTTTGTCAAAGAGTCTCCCAGTTCCGACATATGCAGTGGAGAAGTGGGCAGTCCAGGCAATCTTAACTATCCATCATTCTCTGTTGTTTTCCAGTCAAACAGTGATGTGGTTACTTATAAGAGAACGGTGAAAAATGTTGGGAGTTCTCCTGATGCAGTTTATAATGTTGAAGTGAATGCTCCTGCAAATGTTGACATCAAGGTATCACCAAGTACGCTTGTTTTTACTGGAGAGAAAAAGACCTTGTCCTATGAGATTACCTTCTCCAGTGTTAACTTGGGTTGGTCTAGCATAAACTCACCAACATTTGGATCAATCGAGTGGAGCGATGGAATTCATGGAGTCAGAAGTCCAATTGCTGTAAAGTGGCGTCAAGGATCATCCAGGGAATCTATTTAAGCATTGGATATGAGAGAAGTTATCTGGCATAGTTTCGAACTTGGGCCACTGTCTGTCAGCCTCTTGTACAAATTATGTGATCATGATTTAGCTTTTCATTTCACCAAGATTTCAATTTGGAGATTGTTGAATGGTTGATCTTGGAACGGGTTAAAGTTATTGTATTTTAAGGAAGAAATAATCTCTTTTTTTCATGTTTATAATGTATGGAACATACTTTCCATAGTGAATTAGATCAAATAATGCTCTAATTGCTTCTACAATTGTAATCAAGAGTTTGCTCCATTTCTTTTGCTGTTTCCTCTTCTTCTTCCGCTCCATAAATTCATAAAAGACAACAACGTAAGTTACACTATATATTCAGGGAGAAATGAAGCTGTAATGGGTTATGCAACATAAAAGAGAGCGAATGAGTGAGCAATTGGTGCCTATTTTAAGCTGTAGATGATACCTGGTCAATTTTTCATACATGTAGGCATCTCCATCTCTATGGTCTTCTCAGGTGCTATCATCATGTGGGAAGATGCACGCATCCAATGTCAATTGTCAGTAGGTGAATGAAGAACACACACACACACACACACAGCCACTTTTTTTTTGTTCTTTTTGATGAATGACAAGCCATTTATATCATTGACACGTACTTGATCAATTTAAATGGACCGAGAAGTAGGGGGATGAGAGACAGAATGCACAAGGAAACACCCCCACCCACCCACCCACCCCAAGCTTCCTTTTTTGTGAAATTTTTTGAATGAACAGCTAACCATTCCAAGTGGGATATAGAGCTTTGGGAGTACCATACGAATAATGAGAAGAGTGGTGGAACTCCTGATAGTAACTTAATGTATAATACAATACAAGTCTTGCACCATCAACGACGCTTTGGCCGAGTGGTTAAGGCGTGTGCCTGCTAAGTACATGGGGTTTCCCCGCGAGAGTTCGAATCTCTCAGGCGTCGTTTCATCCCCTTTTTTCTTTTCTTAATCTTACAATGCTCAGTGATTCCACCATGTCATGTCTTTGTCCGATCTGTTTATGAACAACTAGATCTTCATTTTTCTTTTCCACCAAAAATTTATGGATGGAATATGGTAATTGTCATAAAGAACTTTCCTTTACAGCTCTGAATCTTTTTAGATTTTTTTTCTCTCACTTCTCCCACTTACTACTGCACTTTCATTTTGCAGGTAAAAATCAACGAGGTAAGATACCAAAACCACAGCATTTCTTATAAGAACCCCACCACCCTAAACCAACCTTGGGCGACCAGCAATTCATCGACCATTTGATTTCCTTAAATGCTTCTCAAGGTGAATCAGATACTAATCACTTCAAACCTGCTTCAATGCCATAGATATTAACAATTAATAAGCCACAGTGCATTTTTCATTACGTTAAACCAGTCAATAGTTTGTTTATGGCTAGTTGCATGGCCAAGAGCTAAAAGGCATTCTGCCATCAGACCCTACAGCAGTACAACAGCATATAAACCAACAAACCAAATTGCCAAAATCTACTTTCAGTTTTCAGACAGGAGCTATAATATAAAACCAGTCTGCAGTCAAAACAATTCGAGAAACTGGGTTTTGGCATTTGGAGAAATCAAATCTGGATCCACTCTGAGATTGCACAGTTCTACAAACCCTAATCACGACACGAATTTGAGCACACAAACAGTAAACTGCACAACATCTCATAACATAAACTGGACCCAATGCGCTTGGAAAAACTTCAGCATAAAAATATAATACTGGTCCAATATGCTACTTATAATAATCTGATACAATGTCTCGTCATTAGAGACATCTCTGTCTGCGGGTGCTGGTCTACAGGAAGTCGATCCAGCTGTTCTGCTTCATCAATTTTAGTGGCCATACTTCTGGAACTCCCACTCGCTATTATCTGCAAGAGTGAAAAAGCCAAATAAGTGCTGAAGAGTTTGAGAGATGTAATAAAAATAAAGCAAAAAATCATATGCATTCTCTACAGCATACCAAGTGGGCACACTTGACGGGTTTTGAGCCATCGGCTGATACAGTGGAAGTGGAAGGCATGATTGCACACACCTATGATAGCACAAACCAAATCTCTTAGCAAATATAAGCAAATTAACAAAACAAATAAAACACACCACAGGATAAACTAAAGTGTTAACATCAGAATTGATCATATAAGCAACACTGTTGAAGCTTCACATCAACCAACAGAATCATGAATAAACCAATACAAATAGAAATTTGTTACAGTTAGCAATCAATAAAAAGAGCCCTAGATCAAATCTTATGCTTGTATGCCAGAAACAAAGGTAGATGTGACATAATGAAATTACCTAAGGAACCATTCCTTAAATGCAGCAAGACTAATGGGCAGAATAAATAGAACATAAAAAAATAAAAAAAGAGGGAGGGAGGCAGCTACAGAACCAACATCTTGACCAACCATTTCTAACCCGTATTTTTTAGAGCAAAAACTAAACAAAATCAATATCTCCCCATGACCCTCAGCATTCTTGTGGATTTTCTAAGAATGTACCATGAATTGCAAATTCATACATGCTATAACTGGTGTCAGTCACTGATCACAAAAAAAAAATAAATAAAAATAAAAATAAAAATAAATAAATAAAACGGAAAGCAGACACATAGTGCTAAGAGCCCAAGAGTTTTCTCCTAAATTGTCATCTAGGAAATTGGAAACAGTGTCCACAATCAGGTTGATCAAATAGCAAGAGCACAGCAGACAAGGCACACAGTTCCACAAAAGAGGAAGGGCTTACAAATGTACCAAAAACTAAGTTCGGACACATGGGCAGAATTGTTGCAATCTTTGGCTACATCAGGCAGCACTAGTACTATATGATTAATTTATTTAACAATCATAAAAGATAAAACTTAATATTTCAGTTAGATATAAACCAACATGATTGTAATTTGAGGTGCTCAAATTACAACCTATTTCCAAGATCAGACTATCAAGACATGCTATATCCAGGGATAATGTACAAAATGAATGAAAAGCCTAAGACAACTGCAGCAACTGGGATAACTAGCATAAGGAAATGTTCTAGGTCAATAGCTTCATATTCGAGGTGAAAATATCTTGTAACTGACTCCAGTTGTTACAAGAAGGAATTCTCCAACAGCAAACTCACATAAAGACAAACTCCTGTAATGGCAGTCATCAACACCTAATGGCAGACATCCTTAAGTTTGGGAAGGAACTTGCGGGTAACTATGCAAATGCACAACCACTATATGCTCCTGGCAGGCATTAGACATATTCGCCCTTTAATTTCTATATCTCCTCAAAGAAGATACAAACAGCACCACATAAATAATTAAAACCATACCAAGCACGAAAAACACTGCCACCAAAAATTATGAAATCCCCATCACATTAAATTCTTGTCCAATACAAATGATAGTCACGAAAGGGTACCAGTACAAGCAATCATGAAACCAAGCTCAAAACAAAGGAGAACACAAATTACCCATCAAAGAGAAAACCCCTAAATTCATGAAAGAAGAACACATACCCCAGGCAACAGTGCACTCCTCGCTCGTAGCACTAGCTTGATTTGCTTGACACTCAATGCCTACCAAAAAAAAAAAAAACATATAACATAATCAATAAATAAATGTAAAAAATAATACCCTGGAAATCTTGAAAGAGAGAAAAGTAAGACTCACAGAGATCCATGATATGATTCCTGCAAATAGCGCAGTTATCCACAACAATATCTGCAAACCCATCACATAATTAACACAAAAACATCAACAAAATAATTAAAATTAAAGGTTAAATAAAGAGAGTAGGTATAATCAAAGAGACAGACCCCAAGCCCATAGAGCGACAGCATTCCACTTCTTGATTTCGAATCGCTTCGGTTTCCTTGAGGAAGAAGAACTTGCCTCGCCTGCCGGAACCATCGTCACGTCCGTGTCCATCTTAGTTTGGTTCGGAGAGCGCGAGAGTGTTTTTGGGTTTTCTTCTTGTAAGGGCAACAGAGAGAGAAAAAGTGGGAAAATTAATGAAAAGCGTGAGGAGGTGAATTTATTTGGTGTTTTCTTTGTAGTAATTTCCTTGTGTGAATAGAATTTGTGATGTTTTATTTTCTTTATTAAAATTTGTGTATATATATTACAACCACGTTATATTTATATTTACATGAAGTATAAAAATCTAACTGGAGATTTTTATTTTTTAAGGAGAAAAAATATTTTTTAAAGAAAGACAGAGATATATTTGTGTTTGATACTGGTGTGGAAAAACAAAAAAAATATCTCAATATCATGTTTGATCAATGGTTGATAAAATAATACAAAGTGTAGAAAAAAAAATTATTCTTGTGTTGTATTAAACTATTCTTATACCTTTTTGTGTAGAATATTTTTTAATGCATTACGAGTTTTTTAATTTTTTGTAGAATATTTACTTATTGAAAGATTTATTTTTTCTTTGAAATTATTGTTTAAGAGTAATTTTTTTTCCTAATATGAAAATTTTCATTTATTAAATAAGTTATAATTTACTTTATTAATTAATTTATTTATTGATGTAAATTAAAAAATATATATTTATTAGATAAATTATCATTTACTTTGGTTTAGGACCAGCCCAGGCCAATGGGCTGAAAATATCAGCCCATGACAATCCAAATTCGGCCAAGCCCCGAGCTATCCAATCCTGAACAAGTATACCGTGTTGGCTGCCGGTTGCTTGAAGGCATCATCATTACAATACCTTCAAATTATAAATTATTAAATAATTTTATTTATTGTGGCGTAATAATTTATTTTATCACTTAATAATTTAACTAATTATACATTAGTTATATTTTTTAGTTATAATATTATATATTTATGACTTAAAAAGTATAGTATTATCTTTAAAAAAAATATAATTCAAATCGTAACAAGTTATTACATTTTTGTTAAATAGATTTACTTAATAAACCGTAAAATTTATTTATTTTTATAATTTAGCTAATTTTTTTATGATTATAATAGTTACGAACAATTAAGTATAATTTTAATAAAAAAATCTTATTATCTTAAAGAAAAAGAAAAATAATATTTAAATAGTAAGGAAATCATTTTTAAGTGAAACGAATTAATAAATGTTTACATTTATTATATTGTAAATATTATCTTATTATTTTCTAAATTTAAAAATATTATAATTATAATGTCTTGAAGTAATCATATAGCAAGCTCTTATGTTGACAAGTAAAATAAAGTGTCAAATGTTTATGACTTGAAATTTTGCATAATTATTAATTTACTGAACTTTTCTCGTAAATTTTCGAGTTGTGGTCGGTTCAATAAGGTTGTTTTGTACTTGTAATAACAAGGCTCAAGCAGCAGATAACAATCCGCACAACAAACACTCATAATGAATAGATTGCTCATTATTCTGAGACGAAAAACAAAAGTGATGCAAATATGAGCAGTCCAGCGCTCTATAATTTTAGAATAATATATCCTTTTAAAAATAAGATAAAAAGCATAAGCTCCTCTAAATTGTTGGTTCTTGAATAAATTATTCAATGCCAATGGTCCTTGAACGAAATAGGAGATTCAATCAAGTCTTTTTGTTAATTAAACTTACGTTTTCATCCAATTGGTGTTAACTTAAAAACAAATGTAATAAATTTGATTAATTACACGTCTTAATTATATTTATTTAGACCAAAAATACCTTTCAAATATTTTGTCAATGGTTTAATTTTTTTAAAAAAAAAGGGTTCCAATCAATGCTTGTCTACTATAAGGGTTGGAGGGTTAATATTACACAATTCTGCATCTCACATGTTTTGAGTTACCATCAATTGGGTGAAAACCTAAGTTAGTTAGATTTGATTAAATCTTTAAATTTGTTGAAGAACTATTTGTGTTTTGACAAATAATTCAAGAAAACGGACACATTTTAACCCTAAAGATATAGAGTTAGTGATAAAAATTCACTACTTATAAAGAAAATGCAAACTTATTGATAAACTAAAAGATCAATCATAAACTTCTTAGTCAAATTCAACACCCATGATATATAGATAGAAGTTTAATATATACTTAGAATAACCCTCAAAGTTTTAAAAATAGTCAAAATGATGTTTTTTATGATAAATATAAACAATCATTGGATGTTATTGGATCTTCTTAACTCTAAAAGTTAGTTCAAAAAGTAAGATTTTTACTTACACTTATAATCAAACACTCCACCTTCGACTCCTTTTTATTTTTCTTGGCTGCTTCACTTTTTTTCTTTTAAACATGTGTAGCCCTACTAATGAAAGTCTAAATAAACTTTTATATGGTCACAAGTAACTAATTTTTAGTTTTTCAATTTATTTATTTACATAAGATTTGAACCTCATCGAATATGGATATAATCTATAATAACTTAAATAGTAAAAAAATAAAAATATAACTTAAAATACAATTTTTTTTTACTAATAGATCGTGAAAATAAGCAATCCAAAAAGTTTAAACTAACATGCTTCAATAAAAACATTCATATCTTCTCCTAGAAAATTTAAATGGATTCGTGGCTGGACAATTTAAGGAAAAAAATCACATCCTTAACTTACGGGATAGATATCATTTCTCCTGCATTAAGAGTTTAGAACATTGGAAAAGTGGGCTCAAAGTTGATCTATGGGCTAGTAGTCAATAATTCCTAGAAAATCATCTATTGTGCTGCTAGCCCATAGTCAAGTAGCCCAAAAAACATCATAACCCGTGTCAAGAGTAAACATGACACCTCTCTAATGCTTCAACAAATCAATAACGAAATTTGAATCTAGAACTTCAATATGAATCTTTTGTTTACAATCCTAATCTATCCCTTGAACACGTACTAGTAAACATTTAATCAAGTATTACCGATCAACAAAACTAACCCACTCATATACTTTATCACATGAACCATCAAAAACCTTCCAACTATAAATAAGAAATAGGGCATTGATCACCATAAAATCTGGCAGAAGTTTGTGGACTCCTCTAGCAGTAGTTAAGTGCAGGACCAATCTACAGAAACAAAGTGGAAACAAATAAATGGATCTCATTAATTCTACCTTGATTGGTTACTAGCATTCTCAAGATCCGCTTAATTAATTAAGAACTACACCTTAACCATTAACATAAATATCATATCCACGGTGTTCTACGTTCAAAATATATTTTTGATAATTAATTATAAAATAGTAGTTTATAATTAAGTAAGTATTGATTTATAAATTAGATTCATGATTCGATTCTTATAGTCAGTATTTCTAAAAATTTATTTTCGGAATACTTGAAATCGTATGTTAGAGAGTGCCTCTTAGTCACGTGCAAAAAATAATTAATCTTGATATGCGAAAAAATTAACATGAAAACATCTTTACTATTTAACCAAAAAAAAAAAATATATATATATATATATATAATAAGAAATTGTTATACATGATCTTGTTTCTCTGTCAAAGAGTTGGCTAAAATTTTATTTTGATCATGTATAACAATTTTCTATTGGTTGTCTAAATATATAAATATATATAGAGAGAGAGAGAATCATGTGAAGGAAACAATACGACAAGTTTTTTTTTTTTTTTCAAGTTTTATTAATGTAACCTGATCAGATGGGAAATGCGATTGGTTAATGTTCAAACTTCTAACCACTGTGATGTAGGAGTCTCAACTGTCTCAAAAGCGATATCAAGCGCCACATTTGCATCTTCTTCAATTCCCTTCTTAGCATAAAAGATGGGCATGTGATTCGTTTTCCCCTATTTTTTTTTAACGGCTCCCAAAGTCTATTTTAGTCCCTATACTTGTATAAATATTTCAAATATGCCCTTACATATTATAAACTTTTTGACATGTTTTTCTTATTTCAAATTTATTAGGTCCTATTAACCGAAATGAATTATAATATATACTTCATTAATAAGTATTAGAATTTAATACGTTTTTAAGACATGATGTGTATAATAGAAGGTGTCAAGAACAATACATAAATATAACAGTGAAAGAGAGAACTGGTGGTTATAAATTCTACAAGAAAGAAAATAAAAAAGAACTTTTTTATCTTTTTTTTTTTTTTTTTCACCCGTCTTCAAGGTTAAAATTTAACCTCCTGTCAGTTCCACTATGGGCTAAGTTTTCCACCTCTTAAACTATTGCCATTCTTCATTGCAACATTTATTGCATCCAACTTTTTGTGTTAAAATTCATTCTTGTAAATGTTAACCCCAGTAGTCTAATATCAAATATATATATTAATCGCAATGGGCTCCTTTTCTTGCTTTATTATTACTTCTATTATTTTAAAAAATCTATTTAGCTTTTTCTTGTATTTCGGGGACGCATATACTGTATATATTTAATTTGTCCACAAAATTTAATTACGAATTTTATTAATTTTCCTATAAATTAATTCATGTTATTTTTATCAATATGGGTCCAAACTATACGATAAATAGTTTGGACTAATGATATGCATTGTTTAATACAAGGTTTTAGATCGCTTAAAGATAAACATTGGTATTCTAGTACGATCGGTGTCCATACCTTACTTTTACGATGCATTAGAAAGGTTGATTTGGTATGCTTAAAAGTATGAATCTGCTAAAAAAACCTCAATTATTACTTCTTTAAGGTTTTACTAGCAAGTTGAAACACTTTAACTAAAAAAAAAAAAACCTCATCTTTCTTTAATATAAATCTAATGGTCTAAACATAGATAATGTGACACAACCTTTACGATCAAGAGTAATTTTTAATCCATTATAAATGTTAATCTCATATTATCTTAATGCGATTCCAACTATTAATATTCCATAAAACCTCATAAATTCTCTTTCTCAATATTCTCTCCCTAACATCCAATTGTGGATATCATCACACGCACACAATGTGTATGGAATATTGACACACACTGATATACTAGTCTTTTTCTCAACATTTAACTAAGCACAAACACACCGATATTTCAATCTTTTCTCCCTAACATTTAACTATTTAACTATGCATATCGTTTCTCAAAAAATCAAAATCATATCACACTAAATGCATGAAAGACAAACTTCGATCTTCTTGCAAACGTAAAATATGATTCATGAAAACAAAGAGATCGATCACGAAAAAAGATTTTAATTAAAAATTTTATTAATTTTACTATAAACTAATTCATGTTATTTTTATCAATATGGGTCCAAACTATACGATAAATAGTTTGAACTGATGATATGTACTGTCTAATACAAAGTTTTAGATCGCTTAAGGATGAACATTGGTATTATAGTACGATCGGTGTTCATACTTTACTCATATGATGTATTAGAAAGGTTGATTTGGTATGCTTAAAAGCATGAATTTACTAAAAAAAACCTCAATTATTACTTTTTTTTATTTTAAGGTTTTGCTAGTAAGTTGAAATACTTTAACTAAAAAAAAAAACTCATCTTTCTTTATTATAAATTTGATGGTCTAAACATAGATAATGTGACACGATCTTTGTGATTTAGAGTCATTTTTAATTCATTATAAATATTGATCTCATATTATCTTAAAGCGATTTCAACTATTGATATCCAGTAAAACCTCCTAAATTCTCTTTTTCAATATTCTCTTCCTAACATCCAACTGTGCATATCATCACATGCACACAATGTGTATGGAATATCGACACACACTGATATTTCAGTCTTTTTCTCAACATTTAACTAAGCACAAACATACCGATATTTCAACCTTTTCTCTCTAACATTTAACTATTTAAATATGCATATCGTTTCTCAAAAAATTAAAATCATATCACAATAAATGCATGAAAGACAAACTTTGATCTTTTTGCAAACGTAAAATATGATTCATGAAAACAAGGAGATCGATCACGATCACTTAATCAACACCAAAGCCAAGATATAGTATCAAGATCAATTTAATTACTAGAAAGAACATGTGTAAAAATTTAATAAATTTAATGTATTAATTATTTTAATGTTCATCACATCTCCCCATGAATTTGAGGAGACTTAATAATTAAGCCTATGGTCTGTCTTCATATCACGAGCAATTACAAACAAATAACGCTAAGAAATGGCGTACCTGTTGCTAACTTGATTAAGATAATTACTTACTCAACCTCTCTCTGGACCCACATACCCAAGATGCCTTTATCTCCATATAGTCAACTCTACATGAAATCAAAGGACCATTTTACTTCTCCCTTAACCCATAAATTCTCTCCCACATCCTGTACCTTTCTAGCTACCATACTGCATGCTGACCACACATGGCTCAAGATCACGATCAAATCCCCCTCAAAAACACCAATCTCACCACCAATTCCCGGTGGCCGCTTCGGCGGACGAGACATTCCCTACGTAGGCGCAAACTGCCCACAGTACGTCTTGGAGGAGAAAAGCCTCGACGAGGAATGTTTTTAGTGAGGATGTTAAGAAGGATGCGGTTGAGGTGGCTAAAATTGCAATACCTGTGCATGTTAAAGAAGATAAAGGAAAATTATCTTACTTTTATGAAGGATATTAAGGTATCTGGAGCAAGCATAGATGTTTATCAACAAAGGCTTTTAATGGAGACCTCTTTTGCTGTTCCTGGCTTGGGTATTACTTTCTCCAACTTTCTCTCCCTGCAGCCTGGATCCAATCCCTCTCGATCCTTCATCATGTAAAAGGTTCTTTTTTTTTTTTTTTTTAACATTTCCTTTCTTTTTGTTTCATTTGTGTGTTAAAATAAAATGTAAAATATATGTATGATCTCCAATTATAAAGGATCGTGTCTCTTATTGCTTATCTGATGGCAAATAAAATAATATTATGGAAGAAAACCCATAATCATGGAATGGTTGGAGTACTAATACGTCCTTTATTTATTTATTTTTTTCTGCTATACAATTTCTTGTAATATTATTAAAGGATTATTTTTGTTAATTGATTGTAGAATTAAAAAGTTTTGATCCTACACACACTTGTGTGAATCTGGGAGATAATCAAAGCTGAATTATTACCGAAATGGTAAGGTGAAGTGTCATTAATGAAATATTGGAGTAAGCTAATTAATGCAAGAAAAGTATAGCTGGTATATATTGTTTTTTGTTCGTTCTTTCTTTCTTTCTTTTATTTGTTATCTTTTGATGAATATCATGGCCTTTCTTGTTAGATTTGTACTGTGATGTTTAAGTATGAAACTGAGAAATTAATGCTTTTCACTACTATCCTGATCGATGGATAAATTTGGGTAAAAAAAGGAACCCATTAATTTCTTCCGTCCATAAAATTGTTTTGTTGCTTCTGGTGCTTCCTTTTCTGCTTTGGTTTTCTTCGATAATACGCCTCTGATTTATTATTTATGTATAACTTACTACACAAGTCACACATTAATAACTGGTTTTATGTTCAAGTAACTTATGTGAGTGGTTACATTTATTTGTAATTTATTGTTTCCGCTGAGAATTAATGTCTAATGCAACTCTCTTTGCATTTACGAGCTTCGTCCGACTCATAATACTTCAATCTATCACTTTCTTTTGTACCAAATAAATAAATATTATAGGAATTAAGATAATATTATAATACAGTGCACTAAGTAATCAATCAAATCAATCAGTTTTAATGTGATGTAGCTAGTTTTTTGTTTTTTGGTGACTCTTGCAAGCTGGTTACAAAAAAGAAGCATGCGGGATCAGTGATGTGTCACTGCAACTTGCAATTATATAATCATAGATATCCTGCTCACCTTGTCTAACTAGACATTCGATACTCCTATTTGATTTCTCCTCCCATATCCTAATATCCTGTAAAAAAAAGGTAATCGCTAAAATAGGAACTGCAACATGCATCGCAAAATATAAGAAGGTTTAATTATAAATATCGTTACTCCAATTAAAATCTTCTTCCTTCTAACTTGCATATGGCGTCCCTTTTTTCTTTTTTCTTTTATATTTATTTAATGATCAACGTCTCTTTTTATATGGGCTGCTATCTCTTAACATTTTGGTCTTCATCTGCGTGTTCGCTTTTTAATCCAGAGAACGCTAGAACCTTTTTCAACAAAAAAAAAAAGAAAAAAAAAAAGAGAAAGAACTGTCCATTTCCAATCAACCTTATAACATATTCTCCAGGGGCCACGAATACGACTAGCTAGCAATGGAGGCTATTTTTACAGGTCAACAACCAATAATGGAATAAACTCAACTACACGTATGATGCTATAAGATAATACAATTATATGAACATGTCTCGTTATATTGTTATATATTATTGGATCACGAAGATAGGTCCAACGCGATGGGCCTCTCCCAGCTTGAGCTCCATCGTGTTTGCTATCAATTTTCACAACTCAATGACGTAGGGGCTGACATATGGATATACCATATAATATCATCTTGGTTAAAATATTGATTAATAATGAAGATGTTTTAAAAAATAAAAGTAAAAATGTCCTGCGTAGCATCACTACAATGATAAAGAAATTAGTAACATTAAATCGTAGCATCCATGATCAGATTGATAAGCCTCAAGGCTTCGTTCCAACGGTAATTGGATTTTATTATATCGGGAGTTTGAATTTTTATGAAAATATTGTGAGAAATTTTATACATCAATCCTGGTATATATAGAGATGTTTATGATTTGTCTAAGAGTCGATATAGAATAGAAATACCAAGTGCGTCTGGCTGTATAAAACTTGATCTAGAAAAGAATTACTTTTAACAGAAGAACTTGAAACATCTTAAGGGGGAAAAAGTGTTTTTTTTAACAAGAATTTAGTTATTTAAGGGGAAAAAAATAAAATAAAGGCAACTATAGTACTCAGGGAAGGAAAAGACTTATAAATCTACTTGAAAATTAAAAGGAAACATAACAATGTGGAGATTTACTCGTTCATCATCAAAACCCAAATGCAGTTCTAATTTTAAAAGTTTTAAAGAGTTTAGTTTTTTTATTCAAAGCAAAGGAGATACCGCTATCTTAAAAGTTAATTCTACCATAATTAGTATTAGAATTATTTGCAAACAGTTAGATCTAATTTTTGTATTTTCTATGAGTTTTGTCGTCAAAATAATGATGTATTTTTTCAAAATCATTTTGTTATTTTATAAATTGAATCATTTTGTCCTCAAGAATTCGAAAGTCATAGAGAGTGAGAGTGAGAGTAATTTTGATGTTTTCGAATTTCTGACTTAATCTGGGTAATGTCCAAATGCATTTGAATAATTTTTAATGTATTTTGTATTATTTTTTGTTTTTTGTCATTTCTCTAATTTTTACTAGCAGAGATTTGTTTATGTCTTAGGAATTGAGTTTGGTTATTTATTTTTTTTAAAAAAAAAAGTTGTGTTCCCTTATACATTATTTTCTATGCTTCGTCAAAATCATAGGTGAAATACCAAAATCAAACTTGATATTACGTATTGGATAAGAGTTTATTTAAAATTCTGATTTGAATTACATTGATGGTGTTCTTGAGTTTGAGTTAGTTGATACTGATTATTTTTCATTTTTGACATTGAAACTAGTGATTAAAAATTATTGGTGGATTGATCATAAAAAGATAAATTATAAGGTTTTGAGAAATGATGGTACATTAGATATTTAGCTAATATGTGTGTATGATAAAGAGTCTTTACTTTTATATTTGAATGATTTCCATAAGCAAGCGAATAATGAAGTTTTTTTTTTTTTTTTGGAGGATGCGAATAAGTTTGGGAAAGATGGAAATGCATTGATTGACCTTGAGGATGGTGTTGAGAGTGTGGTCTCGAAAACAAAATGTGGGGAAAAAATGGATAGTGGTTGTAGGATCGGTAAGAGTAGTAGAGATATTGGGCTAAATGATGTTGTAATTTTTTTGTCAAATTGAAAGTATTCATGCAACTAGTTAGGAAAGACAATTTAATAATTTAGATAATTGTATTAGAGAACATGGACAACATGACACCTAATATAGTGTGGGACATGGTTTTGAAAGTATCAAGGCAAGGCATGTGTCAAATGACATTAGGAGCGAAGATAGTGATAATGTAAAGGACGACGATTAGGGAGCCGGATAATGAAGAGGGAGAAAATGGAGAGTCCGGTTCAAAAGAAAGTAAAGATAATAGGAATGGTTATGATAGTGTATTAGAGCTGAATAATGATGCATAATTGATTGATGTGTCATTGCTCGTTGTTAATGATGATGAAGAGTTAGTTTTGGAAGGAAAAAAAAAGGACTCGGCCCTTTTGACCCTTCGACGATTAGGGAAAAAGGTTGGAAGGAGGAAGAATAGAAGGGTTAAAAAGGAATGTGAAGTAAAAAATAGAGGGAGGAATTTATTAAGAAAAAAGAAATAGTGATCCATTGTTTCTAATATCATTAAAAAAAGCTTACAATTCAAGAACTTGTTTGGAGAAGAAAAGAAAAGTTAATTCTATTATTAATTTTGAATTATAAGTGTCATTAACTTTGTGTGAAATAATTTCTTTTTAAAGGATTACGGAATGATCAACTTCTACTCTACCAACTAAAAACAATATTTGAAATGGTTAAGTGCTAATGCAATAATTAACTGCAACATAAGAAACAAGAACTACAAATACTTCCTTGAAAGCTAGAAATCAAAGGCTTTCTATATATACATGTGGCTTATATGTCAATCCCCATACATGATTTTTACTTTGGAATGTAAGTTAAAGACCGATTTGGTCTTTGACTTTCTTCGTTTATATATATATATGATTTGTATTGTTATTTACTTGATTGTAGCTAAGTAATTGTTGTTGTTTGCCATCTTTGTCATCCGACACATGCATTTTACAAGTTATAAATTCAAAAACTTAACTTTCAAATGAACAAAAAAACCAATAAGAGCTTGATCCAAGAAGAAGGGGTAGAAAGCCAAGTAATCTACCTATCGAAGAAAAAAAAGACCATAGAATAATCAAGATTGAGTAGTTGGTAGTAAAGAAGAAAATGGAAAATGATTGATATTTTTATGGATTTGTGATTTGTATGATTTTATTATTAATGGATCCATAAAATATTTTGGATAGTTAATTATATCGAATGGTTCCACTTTTTTTAAATATATGGATGCTAATTATGTGTTTCTTAACCATATTTACATGATTTTGTTTTTAATGAATCTATCTTTTACTATATTAGTTTCTTCATCTTATGAATGAATTTCTAGATGCTAATTTTGTGAATGAATTTATGAATTTTAGTTTTGTAATTGAATTATGCGAATTGATCTTTAATTCTGAAAAATGGTTGGTTTCTACAAAATTAAAGATCAATTCTCAAGAACTTTTCATAACCAAACATCGTTTTTTTTTTCCCTATTTGCATGCAATTTTATGATACGAAGCAAGAAAGGAAAAAAAAAAAGACAAGTCCAATATTGAGGATGGTAAAAGCTTGTTTCAAACAAAATCTAAACTTGAGGGCTAAAATAGATATCATTGGATTTCTTTTTTGGGTTTAAAATATTTACACCAATTACTTCCTCTTGAGCTTTGTAGGGAGGAAAGAATAAACATTGCATCCATTAAACGGTTCGGGAGTCCAAAATTATAGACTTAATTATCCGATACACCATTAAACAAAAGTTTTTTCATTTCCTTTTCAAATATATTCATTCTCTCGAGAAGCTACAAATTGTTCTCTCTTTTTCTATCTAACACTCTTTTCCATGTCCAACACTTATGACCACCTATTTAAACCTTCAAACAACTACTACAATAAATAAAAAAATTACATTATTTACACCATCACAGAGGAAGATAATATTGTAAATCTTTTGACTATTTTAGATAAACTAACATCATGCTAACCTTAGGAAAAAATGGAGTTTATATTCTCAAAAGTGTGTTTTATTCCAAAATAAGATGATTTGATTTCACACCACTATACAATTTGAGTACCATTCGAGATGCATACTCGTAATACATATGTGTGTGTATGTGTGAGAGTAAGAACATCTAAAACATATCCTTAATTTAAGCAAGCTTGGACTTAACATATAGTACTCGATTCAGACCTCAACTATAAAAAATAATAAAAACAAAAGATTAATATCCCATAGCATTCTAAAAATTCCCATATCCAACAAAATACAATTACAATTGACAAAATACTAAAATTTACAATATTACGAGTAAACTTATATATGAGTATCTCGTTTAACAATAACACTATTATATAATATCATTTTAAACCCATTAATTATAGAAAAATACAAACCTACAAATTGAACAAAACCCATTTAACAAACCTTGAAAATTTAACTAAACCCTATAAACATAAATCTAGTCAATATTAACCTAAATCTAAAAACAAGCATATCATTGTAAAACACCCTATTTAACCCGTAACAAGCATACCAACAAACAAAACAATTGTTGCATCTAGAATTTTTTTGCCTTTATCTTCATTAGGAGTCACGATATTTTCTATTAGAACTATATTTTTTTTCTAAACAAACACTTATTCTCTACAACCAGTCTCTTTTTAATATATTTCCAAGCATTAATTACATTTTTAGTTTTTTTTTTTAACCATCGGATCTTAAAAGCTGAAAGTAATTGTATTTTTTACTATCATTTTTTGTGCTGAGTTTTAAGCATGTAAAAAATGTTATGTTGTTAGAAACCCAATCCATTACCATTTGTCTTTCCTCGTTGGACCAAGTCTACTCTAGCATACAATTGTTTTTTGGTTCCATTATGTACATCTAAAGAGTAGGCCGGAATAAAAGGCATTAAACAATTAGCTAAACACTTCTCTTTGTTATCGTAAAAGGCTACTTCCATCTTGTTTTTGTCAACTTGTAGCTCATGGGAAAATGAGACATGGTCGGGGGTAGGTTATGAGGACATCCAATTTTATAACATTATGGTATCGAGCTTAGCATGGTCGACGGAGCCAATGACTAGTGCTTCCTCCGACTTGAGCATTAGCTTGAGAGTTTGAGTAGACGGATGACAAAGATGTTTCGGGCATTTCGATCTAGGGAGGAATTCTTTATCAATAAACCGAGTTCGATATGAAGGCACTCCAACGGTGATGGGACCAATGGGGATTTGACTTCCAAATTGATTAAGTTAGATTTTCCCCGTTACAATGGGAACGAGGACCCCACTCTTTGGGTTAGCAAAGTGGAGTCGTTTTTTAACTTTCAAAACACTCGCTCCAAAAGAACGAGTGCATTTGTCCACCTACCACCCGGAAGGGGATATTTTGGGCTCAACATCAAAAGAATCTGTACCTAGAGCTTACATGGCAAAAATTGAGAGACAGAGTTGGTGAAATGATTTGGTATATCAACTTATGAAAATTCCTTTATTGATTTTTATAAACTCAAATACACTAATACTATCCACAAGTATCAAAATGAGTTTGACAAATTATTGATAAGAGCTGGATCTCTTACGGATGAGCAGGAGGTAAATGCCTTTATTAGTGAGTTGAAAGATCGATTGAGGGTTGATATGCAAGCCAAATGTCTTCTTATACTGAATGAGGCCATTGAACTAGCCAAAATATTTGAAATCAAGGCCTTCAAGGTCCAAAAGCCATGGATTGGACCTCAACTTAGACCACCACGGAGACGCAACTCGTAGAGCCCGGACCAAATGATTTAACCCTCGAGGAGATTCCACTATGAAATCGAGCTAAATGGTACACTAACCAACCATCATCTCTTTTAACCATAACACTAGCTTAACATTTCACCCTCTTTGAACTACGGTAACAACGACGACATGGGCTTTGTTTCCACTATGATGAGGCTTACATGGTGGGATACAATTACAAGAAGTTTTTTTTTTATTAAAATATAGCAAGAAAATGAAACTCCATCGGATGGGTTTCTTGAGGAGGTCTCAATGGACCGGGAGTCACCTAAAATCTCATACACATCCTCATTGGCATCCTCGCTCCCCAAATTATAGGTATCGTGTCACAATACTCATGGATTTTGGCTCTACCCATAACTTTTTGTACAAAAGGATGGCTAAAACTATTGAGCTTCAAATTAAGCAAGGACCACCTATGAAGGTGATGATTATTAGTAAAGAAAGCTTGATAGTGTGGGTTTTTATGAATAGGTACCCTTGCTGATTATTGAATTGGTATTCAAGGTTGATTTTTTATTACTACCTTTGAAGGGTTGTCATAAAATGCTAGGAACATAATGGCTCCAAACTTTGGGTCCTATTCTTTAGGATTTTCAGAAATATGGAGATGAAATTTAAAGTAGAATTAAGGGTTATTACATTAAGGGGGCTTGAAATTCTTGAAGCTAAATTGGTTCGAGAGAAAGCACTAGGTTGAGCATTAAGGTAGACTCAAGGAAAAGGAACCTTGCTATAGATATCCATGGTTCCCAATCAAGTCATTACAGAACTTAAAGAATGGAAGAGCATTCAACAAAAGTTTTCATAGGTGTTTTACAAGTTAAACACCTTACTCTCAAGCCGACCTCTTGATCATCGAATTCTACTACGGAGGGTAGTCCGCTAGTTAGTGTAAGACCATTTTGATACCCTCACTTTCGGAAGGAGGAAATTGAGAAACTATAATCAAGATGCTCACCCAAGGATTCATTCATCCTAGTTAGAGTCTCTTCTCTTCTCCTATATTAATAGTTAAAAAGAGTGACGGTTCATGGCATTTCGTGTAGATTATCGAGCACTAAATCAGATTACTATTAAAGATAAATTTCCATTATCGATGATTGAAGAGTTTTTGGACGAGCTGAATGGGGGTAAAGTGGTTTACTAAGTTGGACCTCCAGTCGGGCTATCACCAAATACGAATACATCCCGTAGATGTTGCCAAGACAGCCTTTCACATCTACCATAACCACTATGAAATCATGATAATGTCATTCGATCTTTCAAATGCTCCTTCTACTTTTTAAGCCCTTATGAATGATATTTTTTAACAATATTTGAGAAAATTTATTTTAGTTTTTTTTTTATGATATCTTGTTAAATAGCAAGGGTTGGGATGAGCATTTGTATCATGTATAAATTATGATTTCAATTCGAGAAATAATAGACTTGTGGTAAAAAAAGAAAAATTCCAGTTTGCCTAAAGACAAGTTCAATATTTATGGTATATCATCACTTAGTAGGGTGTCATGGCTGATCCGAAGAAAGTCAAAGCTATGATCAATTAGCCTAAACCAAGAACCATTAAGTAGTCGTGGGGTTTTTTGGGACTTACAAGTTACTACGGAAGATTCATAACGAGTTATGGGATGATAATAGGATCTCCGACCAACCTTCTCAAGAAAAATGCCTTTTCATGGAATGGGAAAGCGAGTATGCGCCTTTGAGTAACTTAAGAAGGTAATGACTCAAACATCGATCCTAGCTCTACCGCATTTCTCTTTTTCTTTTGCGATTGAATGTGATGCTTCGTAGGCTAGGGTTGGAGCATTACTTATGTAAAACTAGCATCTACTTACTTATTTTAGCACCGACCTCTAAGGAAGAAACTTTTCCCTCTCTATTTATGAGAAGGAATTAATGGCTCTAGTCCTTACAGAGTATAAATAGTGACTATATCCGATGGGATGGTGATTCACAATAAAAAATGATCAATGAAGTCTAAAATATTTATGGGAGAAATGAATCATAATCGAAGCATAACAACGACGGCTTATTAAACTTCTTGGATATGATTTTAGCATCGAGTACAAACAAGGTCATACCAATATAGCTATAAATGCACTCGTCCAAAAAAGGACAAGTTGAACTATAAGCATTGTCATCACTAATACCATGATGGCTTAACCCCATTCTTGAAGAAAATGGCAACCATTTAGAGCTTCAAAGACTACAACAACATGAACGAAGCAAGGTAAGGCCATGGGGCCTTGACGAGTGCAATAAGGAATCCTTTTATTTAAATGATTAATTTACCTCCCTCATGGTTCTACTCTTATTCCAATTTTGTTGCAAAAAGTCCATGGCAATATTCACGAGGATTATTATAAAACCTTCATCGACTTAAGGAAACTTTCTTTTAGAAAAAGATGAAAAAGTGGTCTTCATAAATTCATTCGGGAGTGTGATATTTATCAATGCCATAAGGCTAAGCTCCACAAACTTGTAGGATTACTTAACGTTTTTCAGTTCCCTAGTAAATTTGAGCCGACATTCGATGGAATTTATCGATGGCCCTCTCGTCTTCACGACATAAAAGTACTCTCTTTGTGGTAGTTGACGGACTCTCCAAATACTCTTATTTTATTCCCTTTTTGTATCCATACATTGCTTCCTCGATTACTCAATGTTTTTTTATAGTGTTTTCAAGTTTCATGGTATGCCATAGTCCATTGTTTGTGATAGGAATTCTACTTTCACAAGTGCTCGTTAGAAGGAGCTTTTTAATCTTCGTAAACCCTTTTCAATTTTAGCTTAGCTTACCACCCATAGATGAATGGCCGGACCAAGGTGGTAAATCAAACCATCGAAATGTATCTCCGTTACTTCACCAATTCCAAACCAAAAGAATGGACTCACTAGATATCTTGGGCTAGGTATCGCTATGACACCAGCTTACACTCGCCACTCGCCTTACTTCTTTTGAGATAGTTTACGATCGACCTCCTTCATCTTTGCTTTCTTATGTTCTAGGAATAACCAATGTTCGAGCTCGTTGAAGACTCTCTCTTACAATAGGATCAGGTTCTTCAAGAGCTCCGATCATGAATTTTGAGGGCATAAGATAGGATGAAGTAAATCTACGATCGAAACGTAAAAGAAAGTGAATTTCGAGTAAGGTGATTGGGTTTATGTCAAACTTCACCTTATAGACAATCCACCATTGTTAATAGGACTTACCAAAAGTTGTCTACTCGATTTTATGGTTCTTTTAAAGTGCTAGCCAGAATTGGATAGATGGCTTATAAGTTAGAATTGCCTTTTTCTAGTAAGGTACATCCTGTCTTTCATGTCTTAATGTTTAAGCGAGAGGTTAGGGGATCCTTCCTAAGTTTCAAGTATAACTTATAGAATTTTATGAAGACAAAAAGGTACCTATAAAAGAGCTAGCAATAATCTTGGATATGTGTAAGCGTGGTAGGAAGAAGGAATTTTTGGTGCAATGGATGAACACTCGCAAAATCGGAGGCAACATGGGCCAACAAGGATTCTTTTCTTCAAAAGTTTCTAAATTTTCCTTCTCTTTGAGGACAATGAGTGTCTTAGCAGGGGGAGTTATACAAACCCAATCCATCACCACATGTCTCTCCTCTTTAGACCAAGTCTACTCTAGTATACAATTATCTTTTAGTTCTTGTATGTGCTCTTGAATAGTAAGATAGAATAAAAGGGAACGAACAATTAGCTAAATACTTCTATTTCGTCGCTATAAAAGATTGCTTCCATCTTGTTTTTGTCGACTTGTCAAGATAGCTCGTAGGAGAACGAGACGTGGTTGAGGGGTAGGCTATGAGGACATCTAGTTTCATAACACATGCTTGAATTATTATCGCTCCATGAAATCCATCAAGGCGCTAGGAGTCTACAATTACGATATCTCATGGGAGATTCATCGAGATAATCATGATTGGAACTTTGTATGAACAATAAAGAGATATTTCTTTACATCAAAGGGTTTTGCATTTTATGATTTAGAAGAAGAAGAAAAAGAGTGAGAAGCTATGAAATCTCTCTATAGCAATCAAAATTTGAAAAAGATAACGATGATTGTAAAAGGCCTAGCTCACTTTATCTTTCTTCATTTCACTTCACTTGCTAAAAACCTAACCGAATATATCACGATTTAATGGTAGACAATGTCATTTCATATAAAATATCTCTATTACAATTGAAAAAAAAACGATGATTCACCAAAGACCTAACTCCCTATACCCTCTTCTCTAATTTGAATAATAGTCGATCAAAAACAATCTCTCTCCCTAATTGCATTTGACAATTAAAAGGGCGTAATACGTACAACATGTTGTCTATATTATCCCTTTAAACTATCAAAAGTATTTTGGTTTTATGTTAACAATCCAAAAAAATATGTGGTGGAATGTTTAAACGAGATCATTTAAACATTTCATTTCATGGCCCAAGAATTGACTATTACAAATAATAGAAAAAGTATAAAATTTATCAAAAAAATAATTTGAGATTTAAATTACTTAATTGATAATAAAGATCTGACATTGATAAATTTCAATAAATTATGAGCAGTTTTTTGCCATAAAATCATTTTCTCTCTCGTAATTTTATTTTTAATAGAGAAAGAAAAACTAGCCAATCTGTACCCTGTCGAAATTCATTCAAAATGATGCTAGGTTCAGCCCACTTACAAGTTTTGGGCCAAGCAATAAAGTTTTGCCCGACGATAGGACGTATGAACTTAAGAATGTTGAGCCGATGGCTCTTGGGTTTTTCTTGCAAGCTTGCCTTGTGTCCATGATCAATATTCGTTTTCTTTGAGTAAATTATAAATTAGTACCTTTTTCTTCAAAAAAAAAAATTAATTAATTATTCGTTCTAGTTTTAAAAAAAAAAATTATTTATTTTTTTGATATTTTTAATTTATTTTAATTTTTTTTAACAAATAGAAAAAGATAAAAAAATAAAATAAGTAAATATGTAGAAAGATGATGAAAAACAAAGACGTTTTATAAAATAAAAAAATAAATTAATTGCAGTTAATCTTGGTTAAAAATATTAAATAATTAGGTTTTAAAACTAAAAGGATTTATTGATTTATTTATTGAAATAAGAGGAACTAATTTATAATTTACTCTTGTTTTCTTTCAAACAAAAACTACGTCAACTTGGACCAGTGCCTGGCGGGTGGATACAAAAGTGGAGTCTGGCTTGGGGTTGATTGACCTGTACGGCCCGTCCAATTATCTGGCCATATATGAGAAGATGGAACTTGTACATGATAAATTTATTATGATGTAGCGTAGTTTTACCCGTCCAAATTAACTATCCATGCTTGTGTTGTAGTTATATCCAACAGTAATTCAATGTTTTTTGTTTTTTTTTTTTTGGGTTACCTCATTCTGCATTCCATCCTTTTTATAACTGTTTTGAAACAAATTAAGTTGAAAACAGTAATTTAAAATGGGATAGAGATTTCATTATATGTGTGTGTCTTCTATAAATAAATAGAATTCGTGTTTATAATGTATTTATATAGAAGTTTAAATATTAAACTTGGAAGGTTATCGTGACGTTTATGAAAATTATCTATTATGTATGTCTCTTTATCCATATAAAATACTAGTTTCTTAGCAGGTATTTCGCACGTACATCATATAACTAATTTATAGTATTTTTCATTAATTTATAATAGATTTTTTAAAATTATTTATAAATGGATAAACTTGAATATCTATGAAATAAACATGTTTGATTTGCAAATAATTTTATTTAAATCTTAATAATTATATTTATATATTTTGTTGAACCAAATAGAATATTTTTAACTGAACTTAATTAAATATTAGGAGTATTTGAGTTATCTTTGAAATTAATTAATAATTAATAGTTACAATAATATATATAACTTCTAAACATTGTATTATTGTGAAATTTTGTTATTTTGTCAGTTCTTTTCAATTATATGCGACATGAATATAAATTAAACATACATATATGAATAAAAAATTCATAAATTAGTATTATTTTTTTTAATAAATCTAGTCTTTTTTAGTATTATCACTATCTGTCCATAACAATAAAAAATAACGATATGCTAATAACAAAAATAACTGATAAAAAATTAAGAATTCATTAATTTGATGAATTTTGAAGTAATTTAATTGTTTTTACATTTTAATACTTATGTTCCTTGCTGGCTTGTTTTTAAGCTTTTTTAAAGTTTTGATAGTCAATATAGTACTATATAGTTTAAGAGTGATTTAAGTAATTTATTTCATGTTATTAAGATTTTAAGCAATGTAAAAATGCGAATGTAATGAAAAAAAGGATAACGCTATATTTTAGGATTCATTATTAAGAAAAAGCCTCTCTATTAGGGTTTTTTTCCTTCTTTTTCTTAATCATTTTAATTTACTTATTGTTAGTAGTAGTATACTCTAATATTTGTTTTATGTTTAAAGTATAACAGTTAATTAAAGTTTTTAAGTAGTTTTGTATTTATATTTAGTTATGCATTTATTCCGGATAATATTTCTCTGCTGCTCAAAACTGGCTCGAGCAGTTATTTCACCACATGCTGGTTGCCTTACGGTTCCCGGCACAGTGGTGTTGATGTTTACAAGATCTATGCCTGGATCACTGCCAAAACACATATAGGTAAGGAACAAAATGATTTATGATATGTAATTGCAATTCGATTAAAAAAATAGTAAAAAATGTTCATTTAATTGACAAGTGTTGTGTTATTTTCGTTAATTTTGAATGCTTTTTAGGCCATTTATGGGAGTGAACTTGAGTTGATTTTTTTTCCTGTGATTCGTGAAGCGTTTAGTGTTTTTTTTTTCTTTTTTTTATAAACCAAATAATTATTAAATAAAAATTCCATGAGGCAAGAATGGTCACAGGAACAAAGAAAAGAAATATGTTCATGATACAAACCAAAAACAGAATTTTCTTGGAGAAAAAAATAATATTAAGAATATTAATATTATTACTTATACTTGTTAGATAATAATATAAATTATATCTTGAGTCTCATCTAACGAGTTTAAGCTTTTAAATATGATAAATTTTTAACATAATATCAAAATTTTGATGATTAAACGATCGCATATGTGGCAGAGAATATTGTAAAATAGGCCTAGTAGTTGCGGATTTTGTTCTGGTTATGCTTGTTCATGGACATGAAGGTTTGCATCTCTTTGTTGCTCAGAAACTTTTTCTTTACATGTTTATGGGTTTTAACTTGTCTAAGATATTCAAGCTTTGCTGGTTTATTATTATTTAAAAAAAAAAAAATTGCAATCTTCTAGACGCTTCGACCTTTTAAACATGCCAAACGAGGTTAAATAAAACCATTGTCCAAATTCAATCCAAACAACTTGTCAGCATCTTTGCTGATCCTCAATCTTATACCTTTTTAGAGACAACATAGGCTGCTTCACCTTATTTGATCCTCAATCACATGTTACACGAGGAAATAATTTTTCCCAGCAGGGACGAAATTTTTGGCCATGTGGTTGATGTTAATTTTTTTTTTTTTTAATCATCATCATCGTGTTGCTTTCCTGTTGTCCACTAATTTGGCAGCTAGTATTTTTGTATCTTCTCTCTATTGGCTGTGAATCTTGTGACCATGCCTCTAGTCTTCGATAAAGCTCTTTCGAATCTTATAAAAAAAGAAAGTAGGGCTAGGACTAACACTCTTGCGGCAACTGACTAAAGCTCGTGCTATTTAGTTGCTGTTTTGAGAGAACTGAATTAGTTTTATTGTGACTGTAAGTAGGACTGTGCCGACCAACCATCCTTTAAACGGGGTGATTAATCGTCTGATTGATATTCATTTCCTTTTATCTGATGGATCTAATATTGTCATAATCAAACTTCAATAATATGTCGGGACTTTTTCAACAAAAAGAAAAAAAGCCCTTTTCCATGACTTGGTTAGTACTTAGCAAGTGAAATTCACATCAATGGAACTGTTATTTTATCCTCTCAGAAGAAAGGCATAATGGTTGGAATAGAAGCATAAAATGCTATAGATGAGACCTCAGCTTGGTCGGGTATTTTCTAAAAAGATATTAGGGAGGTATATATAAAATGTAAATACATCCATTTATTTTTATATAATAATTAAAACTTTTTATTTGTTCTTAAATTTTCAATTGCATTTCATTTATCTTTTCGATCATATAAAACAAAATTAATCAAAATGCTTGTGATTGGAATACAAAAAAAAAAAAAAAAACAATATTAAAGACTTCATAAATAAAATGTTCATATCATGTGACTTTAAGTATTTTTTTTCATATTTTAATAAAAAGTATTTCGATCAAAAAATTTATTTATATTTGAAAAAAATTGATTTGAAAAATAGATTGAATATTTAAAAAAGTTTCAAGAACATATAGGGTATAATTAAAAAACTTAGAGACATGTAGGTATATTTATCCACATATAAATATTGATTACACCTTGAATCACAAAAGAAAAAAAAAAAAAACAATACTCTTGTTCACACCTATGAATGTATACTTCCTCATTTAGAAAACTAAAAACGCTAACAGGCCTTGAAGTGTAGAAGTATTTTTTTAGGGTTAATGGTTGCATGAATCTTTTTACCTTTCCTTTTACTTTAATGTGTTCCTCTACTTTTTTAATCCCAAATTCATTTTTTTATATTTAGTTTTTGTTTTAAATTCAAATATTTGTCCATTTTTTGAGCTGTTAAATCGTATCATTAGTCTCACATGATTGCGACATGTATCAACCTTATTTAAATAAGTGATTTTTTTTTGTTTAAATATGAATGTATATCCCACCATTCTCTCTAAAAACTGAAACTAAAAAAAATAAATACAAAATTATTTTTATCCAAAATATTATTCATAGATTTAAATAATAAGCAAATTTTGAGTATAAAATAAAATAATAAAATATATATATATATATATATATATATATATATATATATATATATATATATATATATATATGTTAGTTTTTTTAAAAAATATAAAGAGAGTTTTAATTAATTTTTTGAACTTATGAATCATATTTATAATTTTATAATACTTCAAAAAAATCTATTATAGTTTATTTATTTTTATTTTATAAATTTCTTAATTTAAATAGATATATTTGCTTTTTCTTTCTTTTTTTTCAAAATTTATTTATTTAAATTTAATAAAAATAAAAGGATGAGATTAGGGCAAAAAAAAAAAAGATGATATGCATTGCAATTTTGTAAAACTAACAATGTGATTTAATATCATTAGTTCAAAAGGTTAATGGATGAATGAATTTAAAATAGAAACCGAGACATAAAAAGAAAAAATTAAGATGAAAAAAAAAAAACAATAAAAACGAAAGATAATTTTGAGAAACTCATGCGACCATTAACCTATTTTAACTTACAAACGAAACAGATCGGGGTATTCATAGCTAGCTAATAATAAAACCGAGCTTTTAAGGGCATTTTAGAGCCGACGAACTAAGTCGGTTAACTAATTATCGAAACACTTTTGTCTCTAACCAATGGTAAATAAAGTAAAAAAAAAAAAACAATATCAAAGAATTTTGAATAAAAGGTGAACTTTTAGTGAGTCATGCCAATATATCTTTCGGATCAAATATAAATTTAGATGATGATTTGTGAAGAAGAGAAAAACCGAGAGAGAAAGTATTTTTGTATATATTGAATGCATACGAGTGCTTGTTACAAAGGGTGGAAATGTCTTTATATAGTGGTTGACGAGTAGACTAAATGAGCTACAATCCCGTACAACTAGCTCATATCTTTTCTCTATGCATACCGTTATCAAGTAAATATATATACAAATAATCATTTCTCAATACTCCCCTCGAGTTAGGGGTTTATATAAATCATAAACACCTAACTTGGACAAAAGGAGATGATGAGATTTGCGCCCAAGGCTTTGGTGAATATGTCGACAAGTTGCTCTTCGGATCGAACAAAAACGAGCTTGAGCAACCCGGATTTAATCTTGTCACGAACTAGATGACAATCAATGTCAATGTGTTTGGTGCGCTCATGAAAAACCGGGTTGGAGGCAATATGGATTCGTCGCTTTGTTGTCACGAGTGCATGAGGGCGAGTTGATAAAGATGAAACCCGCAAGTCTTTCAAAATACCAACTAACCAAAATAATTCACAAGTGGCCGAAGCCATAGCCCGTATTCGGCCTCTGCAGAAGATCGAGAAACGAGTGTTCGCTTCTGGTCTTCCAAGAGATCAAAGAGCTGCCAAG